TTCAGTACAGAATTAAGTTTTCGATTGTTTGGGCAGTGCCCAAACAATCGAAAACTTCAATTCTGCCCAATGGGCACTGGCACAAACAGGCGTAGCGCAAACAGATCAAACATGAGGGACACTTTGTCAAATTGGCTAAGCACACGGTGGACTGGGGCGTCATCGGGTCAGTAAGGGGTCACTGTTGCATGTTTCCCCGCTGGAAAGTGTAGAAGTTTCAAGTGACAGAGGCTCGAACAACATATGGTAGAATATCATCAAATCTCCGACCGCACTTAAGATGATAGGTATACAAATCCCCAGTCAAGCGCGGTTGGAGCATAACAGTATGACCCTACCCCTTCCCAAAGTGTTATGCATACACAGTCCAAGATAGATTAGTCGTCCCGTTTGCTCGAGCCTTGGGATGGATGGCACTGAGCGAGCGTAGCGAGCCCCCCCCTGCGGTTTGACAGTCCGTGCGCGTAGCACGCGGCTGCAAACCCAGGACTCAGCAGTGCTCTACCTAGCAAGCGGAGGCGACGCGTGCGAGCCGCAGCGGGCTTAGGGTTCTGGCCCAGCGAGCGCAGCGAGCCTATAGGGGTTTTGGATTCGCAAAGGTGACCCCCTCCTATCCGCATGTTTTGTGTACGAGTCGGAGAAAGTCGGAGTGTCGGAGGTTTTTGGGTATGGTGGCCATCACTATGCGATCATGCAAAGTGAGGGTTTCCATACCAGGCGAGTATGACCACATCTTGCACAGCCTCCGCATCCTTTTGGTACCAGGGCCTTAGGGGGACAATGCTGACACAAAACAGCCTAATGTAGTTGACCTCTCTCCCCCGGACCCCGGGCACTAATGTAGTTGACCTCTCTCCCCCGGACCCCGGGCAGTAAGTTGGGTCGGCGTCTTGACGGTCCTGAGAGAGAGATGCACAGACCGCTGAACTGTTGACGGGGCCGTCGAGATTGCATCCCTCCGCATGGTCATTGAGTAAACGACAGTGGCGTACCCTCTAACGCCACATCCTGATGGCATTAAAACAAGCTAAATGGTACTGTACCTAAACGAAGGTGGTCATCAATGGTGACCGACTCAAAATGCAAAAATCTATACATGTAGGTGCGTGCCGACAACGTTGGTCCAACATACGATGTAGGAGCCCGCATATGACTGTAAATTCCGGGCTTGGTGACGCTTTCTGAACATAGCCCGCAAAGTACCACTGGCTGACTTTGACAGTTCGCGAGTTCGTTAAAATCTTCGACTAATGCAGTACAATACCTTTGCGGAGTCAACTTTTGCAGTGAGTTGATTCACCTGACTCACTTTAGATAGTGTAAATTTCAAGTTGCGCAGCTCTGGAGGGTACAACCCCAGCTGGTAGTGGATAAGAACTTTGGCATCTGCGCTACTACGCCACCCTTCTCACAAACAGCTTGTGCACGTGCTAATGTCAATCTTTGCCTAAGCAGCCGATGCAGGCCCTATTGAGCCTGGAGACTTCACTTGCCATTTCCACGCAAACAGAGCACAACTCGCGATGCGCAAGGAGTGGATCGGCCAGAATCCGTACGCAGAGATGAACTTGTCGGCGGAGGTGAAGCACCAGCTCAACGACCTCGTCAATGAGTTCGTGGAGGGGTATTTCCAGCAGTACGAGGACTTTGTCGCCTTCGAAAACCGTCGAGTGGACAAGCAGCGCTGGAGACATCTCAAATCCAAGGACGACCTGCACGTGTATGAAGACCGCAATCGTCTAGAGAGCGACCAGGACATGGAGCCATGGAAACCAAGCTCGCAGGGTGGAGCAGCACCGGCGAAGTCAGACATGCCCGTGCTGCTACGTGTTGGAACGGTTCTCGGCCGTTTGGACGACCTCATGTTCGGCTGTGTGAACCCGACACTCGATGTCATGCGCATCCGAGCGTCGTACGTCCACGATGTGCACACTGCTGCGATCTTGTGCCCCGTTATCGAGCCCAGCAAAGAGGAGCCGTTCCGTTCGCTCATCGTCAAGTGGCTCACCTTGGATAACCCGTTCGAGTCCACGAATCTTGTCAAGACCCGCGACTTCGTGTACGTCGAGGGTACGGGCATTTTACACTTCGCGAACGGCGACCGAGTCGGCTACCACCTCAAGCATTCCATTGAGTTCCCGGAGACCGCGCCGCGCCAAAATATCATCCGCGCAAAGATGTCGTACTGCGGCTTTTATCGCCAGGTGAAGGACAACATCATCGACGTGTTTGGCACGAGCACTACGGTTCCTGGCGGAGATATCCGTCGGTTTATAGCAAACCGAGTTGCGACGGACAGTCTGCTGTCGACGAACAATCTCGTATTCTGCGGCCAGATGAAGAAAATGTCGTGGATGCTGCAGCAGCCACGCAACGTGGGTCTTCAACAAGAGCGAAACAAAAACTGCGTCGTGTGCAACAAGAATACTGCTTCGGGGATCAGGGGGAGGATCGGCAAGAGTACATGCAAGCTGTGCTATGGTTCGGTGTGCTTTTCGTGCAAGATCCACTGGCGTATCAGCTTCATCGCGCCTGGAGGCAAGCTGATTCGACGAAAGATTGCATTCTGTGCGACGTGTATCACCCGAGCTTCGTTCTGCGACGCGAAGGAAGCTGCTAGAGACCAAGCTACGGGATATCGGCCCTACAAAGTCTTCTCCACAGCCTCTCACTCGGACACAGCGGAACTGTCCGAGTTTTTGACTGATTCTCGTTCTGATGTAGCGGATATGTTAGATTGGGAGTGCTTATGAGCGGAATCTGCTGAGTGTCGTTTTTAGTTTGTGAGCGCGTAGTCCGATGTTAAGAATTTTCAGTTTTATAAAATTTGCACAAACTAAACTTTGCCGAAGTACTGAGGAAACCAAATGAAGGCGCCAAGATACACACGTTTGCTAGTGTAACAGTTTATGTTGATCGTTTGAGGAGTGGAGCAAACGATAATTGCGTACCTCTCTTAAAACAAAAGTAGAGATCTCCGGTTTCAGCAGAACGTACTGTACGTGAAGTGAATGAAACAGCATTTCGTATGCTAGATTCCCACCTCATCTTCAGCGCGGCAACATATTCATTAACGTTATAAAAAATTCATTCTGAGGCAGCGGGAATTTACACCAGATTTGTTTGTGGTCTAATTCGTGAGCTTGCTTTGATTAAATGTTCGAAATATATGTTACGGAAGCACCCTTCTCTTATTCGGCTGGTCACTCTCGCTACAGTCGTTTATGAAAATAGCGGCCGGATTTAATGACGATATATTTATCGAACCAGTATTGTAGACTATCAATAATACGTCGAACTTGACGTGGCAACGAAATCCATGTAGCCATCAAAAGATTCTGGCACGTCTAAATATAGGCCACCAGGCCAAGTATCTGGGCTTTCACACTCATTGAACATGGCAAGTGATATAATGGAAACACAGTACTCTAGTATTATATATATTTAATTATTGCTTTTGAAATGTTAATTATATTATCATATACATATTTTTATTGATACTGTAGCTTCAATTAGTTCAACGGTTGTTATTATATATAATCCTTTTTATTCAATATTTTATTTTTAAATATTGAATTATGATTTCACCAACATTATAAAAAACTAAACATGTGTTTAATATTGTATACTTAAGTAATTGCTATCTCAGTGAAATGATTATTGACGATTTTTTTAATGCGCCAACCGCCGTCCCGATATTATACTGTAGCCGCGTGGTGGCAGGGCACAGCAAGATGTGTACTCGCGAACGTTGCTGAGTTTCACATGTCTGCACAACTCGGCGAGTGCAACATCACGAAAAAACAATGAAAATCTTATCCGATGCACCCCGTTAAATTTTATAATAGATTTCCAACTAATTTCGTGTTGTTTTGTTTGTTCGTAGTTTTTTTTAGTTTTGCAAGCAGCCTTGCCCACGTTTCATTGTGTTGAGATTATCCCTCACTACGATGGTACCCACTCAACATAATGCAGCGAATCAGGCGACCCGCACTTTCATAAATTTCACGTAATTTACGAGGCATGAATGCAAATCCCAAACTCCTCTTTCGGGAAGCATTCCCCGGTGCTGCAAGAGGTACGTCTGGAATAAGACTGTCGAGTACAAGCGCGTTGCAGATCCTTTCGCCATACCGCTATCTTTGCAGCTTACGCACGGCGCAAAGACTGGCATCAACGATAGGGATCACGGCGCGACGGCCGTCATACCGGTACGTCCAACAGATCTAAGCTCGGCTCAAACGGGCCTGGTGCCCACGCTCACTTGCCAATTTCCTACAGTGGGAGCACAAGACACAGTACAACTGAGTATGACGAAGGACTGGTTCGCTGCGAATCCCTACCCGAACTTGCACCTGTCGGTGGAACAAAAGATCGAGCTCGTCGAGCTCGTGAACGAGTTCGTGGAGGGGTACTTCCAGAAGTACGAGGACTTCGTCGCCATCGACAACCGCCGCGTGGACGAGCAACGCTGGAAACACTTCAAGTCCAAGGACGATCTTCACGTTTACAAAGATCGTTATCGTCAGGAGGCCGAGCAAGACATGGAACCCTGGAACTCGGTTGACTTGAATGAAGACGCGGCGCCAACCAAGTCGGATATGCCTGTGGTGCTGCGAATTGGAACGGTGCTTGGCCGTTTGGACGACCTCATGTTCGGCTGTGTGAACCCGACACTCGACGTCATGCGCATCCGAGCGTCGTACGTCCACGACGTCCACACTGCTGCAATCTTGTGTCCGGTGATTGAGCCCAGTAAGGAAGAGCCGTTCCGATCGCTCATCATTAAGTGGCTCACACTCGAAGAACCCGTTCGAGTCCACCAACCTCATTAAGACACGCGACTTTGTGTACATCCAGGCGACGGGCATTCTCCACTTTGCCAACGGCGACCGGGTCGGCTACCACCTTAAGCATTCGATCGAGTTCCCAGTCACCAAACCGCGACCGAATGTCATCCGCGCCAAGATGTCGTACTGCAGCTTCTTCCGCCAGATTCACACCAACGTCATCGACGTGTTTGGGACCAGCACCATGGTCCCCGGGGGCGACATCCGGCGCTTCATCTCGATTCGAGTAGCCACGGACGCTCTGCTGTCGACGGCCAACCTCGTGTTCTGCGGCCAGATGAAGAAGCTGTCGTGGATGCTGCAGCAGCAACGCTCTGTGGGTCTGCAGAGGGAACGCAACAAGAACTGCGTTATGTGCAACAAGAACACTTCGGGGATCCGTGGGAGGTTCGGCAAGAGCGCCTGCAAGTTGTGCTACGGCTCCGTGTGCAGCTCGTGTAAAATTTACTGGACCTTGAGCTTCATCACGGTAAGTTAGTGCAACGTAAGGTCGCGTTCTGCATGACATGTATAAGCAGCGCTTCGATCTGCGACGGGAAGATGGCGGCGACGGGGGATACAGGGCCTACCAAGCCTTCTCTACAGGCTCGCATTCTGACCCAGCAGACTCGTCAGATTCTGAGTGATAACCGGCGTTTATATGGTAACCTCCAGAAGGGGTCATATACGGTACAGATCTGCTTTTGGAACATATGACATTTTTGCGCGGATCGGCTTTGAGTTCTGAAAATGCACGGAAGCACGTAGGCCACGTGGAGCCTTGGCCGGCGAAGCGCTTGTATCGGCGAGGGTTCATTTGGTAACATGCAGACGCCAGCGCAGTCTCTCCCGGGCACTGCAGGACCTCCAGGCAACGACGGCCCTCTGGGCAGCGCCATACCCGGCCGTACAAGGGGTTCAGTGCGGCAAGAGGTCAGCCCGTGCTACTTCCGCGGCTATACTTATACACGTGCTTGGGCATCCTCCAGGAAAATCTCCTACCGCTGCAGCCATTGGCGCCAGGGCTGTCCCGGGACGATGGCGTTCTTCATTGGCACCATGGGGTACACCGCTGGCCGCCCCCACACTTGTCGCAATGTCGATGCTGCTGGCACGAGCCTCGTCGACGTCTCCAGTGCTATGAAGGACAGAGTCGACACCCTGGCCATCGAACAAGTCGCGCTTCCTGCACGTCGCATATGGGAAGCTGTGCGGAGCGAGTTTTACGGAGCTGACAACGAGCATGTCGTCCGCGGGCTATCTGAACCTCAAGTGCTTCGCCGTGTGTACCGAGCAAGGAGCCAGCACTTTAGCGGAGACGTGCCGGGGCCATTGAAATTCCGCCACTTTCAACGGCGCTGAACGAAGCTGTCTCCTTCTTCCAGTTTCATTACGTCACAGTGAACCGCGAGAACCTCAGCAAGCCTACCCGACTCATTGGCTGGGCACACCCCTCCCTCATCAACCTACTTCGCTACAACGGGACTACCATTTTTGTCGATGGTACATTTCGCTGTGTACCCCCTGGGTACAAGCAGTGTGTCATCTTTATGGTGCACGACCGAGCGTCCGGACTATATGTGCCAGTCTACTATGTATTGAGCACTTCTCACAGTGGCGATTCTTTCTGGGACATAGAACTGCGTCATGTGCAACAAGTTTACAGCGTCGGGCATCAGGGGGAAGTTCGGCAAGAGTACTTGCAAGTTGTGCTACGGCTCCGTGTGCTACTCGTGCAAGATCAACTGGCGCGTGAGCTTCATCGATCTCGGTGGCGAGCTGGTTCAGCGTAAAATTGCCTTCTGTATGACGTGCATCAGCAGCGCTTCGATCTGCGATGCAAAGAGGGCGGCGAGGGACCAAGCTGTGGGTTACAGAGCATACAAGACCCTCTCCACCGGTTCCCAATCTGATACATCGGAAGTGTGGAACGTTTCGATCGGCTCCCAGTCTGACCCATCGGAAGTGTCAGACTGTGACTAAGGAAAACATATATGATACATAGTGGTTTGATACTGTTGGATTAGGTTATTGTTGTTTGAGCGCCATTTATATCATCTCTCGTTTTATAGATTTTTGTTGCGCTTAGTAAAGGTTTACATTCATTTTTCATGTCGTACAACCGGGTCAACCAACTTCAGATGAACCGGCACAAAGGATCCTCCTGAACCTCACAGTCAATTGACCAGATGAAGTCGCTCATAAGTACGCTGCAGTTCGTTGCACAATTCACGCTTTAAGAGTCTACCATACTGTTCATTCAGACAAATCATCAGATCTAACATTCGACTTGGTTGTGCCGTTTCGTTGTTTTAAGAACTTTAAAAAGTAGTAGTATATAACCACGGTAGTAGACAACCTTAGGCTCCTAGTGTCCCTGTAGGTAAGGCTCACGAAGATCAAGCGTTCCACTGAGGGTTCGAGTCTCGCCCGGAGCGATTCCGATACAAAAGCCACGTAAGTCTATTTCCGACCCCCGACTACCTCCATCACTACATCTCCTGGGACCCCTAAGTCACCCCCCCCCCCCCCTAAATGGAACTTCCGATAAACCTCTGTAGCCGCTGGGTACCCAGTGGGCCCGGTCAGCGGGGTTGATGCAGAGCTCGCCCTGAGTGCAATCGGCGATAACCGCATAAAAATAAAAATAAAAAGGTTAATGACTATCTTGATTTCCTGTTGTTTACGTCTAAGTATTGCCTAAATTTAAGTTGTCAGCCTATTTGTATTTTGCTTAGCTGGAACAAGGTATCTGTACTTGTTATTCTTATCCTTTTAAGGCGCCATCGATGAAGATGTTTCGATCAAGCTCATGATGCTGATTTATTATTTTAGCGTATTAGCGAGCATCAGAAAATCTGGCAGGTTGAGAGGGAGGAAAATCTGTTGCTGTGGACGACAATGCACGAACCAGCATCTAGGATGAATCGAGTTTTACAGTATATTGATAGTTTGCGCATGAAATAGCGACTTTCAGCACATCTGCCGATATTAATGAGCACCGACTACCCGCATAACCGTTATTTCTTCTAGGCTAGTCGTATTGACCAACACCAAATCGCGCATCCGTGAGCTGTCGAATCGTTCCCATTGCTTAGCAGCATATCGTCGACTAAAATACTAATTGCTTTGGTCGTGGAGTCCTCGCGGATTCCCACACCGACGCATAAATCGAACGAATCGTGTTTTTTATTTTATTAGCTTCTGACAGCTTAAACATTTTTTGAGAGCTCGAGGGTGACATCGTTCTGAAAAAAATATTTTCGGGCTCCTAGTTTTTTGTCTCAATATTTATTTAAACTTTATACATTTATCTTATCCGAAATATATTGTTAAAACAATTGGATTCGAGTACTTTCCGCGTTCTACCGAGTTATTTTTACTTTCATTTTGATGCCCGGTAAGGTACGCAACACGATTGGTCAACTCCAAACGCGAGTTTTTTGGAAAACTAAAAAAAAGGTTCGTGTGGCGTGGTCTCATATTTACGTCCGGAACCGTAGCTTATCAGAAACACTTTGATAACATCGAGAAGGTCAATGTCGGTCGGTACCCTACTATTTGCGTTCTTCCGTCTTAGGCACGCTGATAAATGAGATCTCGCATCGTTACATACGCGTCAGATCCCTAGCGTAGCGGCCCAACGCAGTGCAAAGTGTACCCCAGGACCTGGGGCCCAGGAATAGAACTCGATCACGCCACTAGAATGTTGCGGGATTCCACATGACGCCACTTGATGAACACAATATTGCGACAAAACCAAAGTGACCCTTTCATTTCTTCACGATGAATACAATAGTCGGCGACTATTGTATTCGACTATCCGACAAGTTTGAATTATCGATAGAGAAGCAATGTACTGCGCTCTTTGAAGTTGTCCAAAAGATGTCAACCGAGTCAAAAGACGACTTCGACTGACTCAATACACGACAGATAGGCGGTGCAATGTGTGCTGAACGGGCAAATCACAGTTGCCCAATGTTGCAGGAGTTCTGCAGCAGGACGCCAGTCAGGAGGTACAGTACATGTATGTACAGTGCGCTCAGCGCACTGCGCTGTACGCAAGTAAACCTCAAATCTAGGTTTTCGCGGATGAGGTTCAGCAACAGAACCACATTACATGTACAGTACAGTACAGTCGAAGCTTTGCAGCTCGCACGCGTGCTTCGCCATTGACTGAAGGACTTTTTACTTACTGTCCGATAAGGTCCTTAATAAGGGTTGGAAGCCCATAAATCAGGGTCTCAACGAGTAACGTTACATAACGTCGACTCGAAGGCACAATCGGGCCATACAGTCAGTGGTGTGGGTAGCACTGTGGCGACTTAGCCACTCTTCCCAACGGGTCTCGATCTCATTTGACGATTCCCTAGCGTAGCAGCACACGACGACGCACGACAAGCATCGAGACACGATGCCAAAAGACTGGGTTAATGCGAGCCCCTACCCGGACTTGGACTTGTCGGGGGTGGAGAAGCTCCAGCTCGTCGACCTCGTGGACGACTTCGTGATGGGGTACTTCCAGAAGTACGAGACCTACGTCGCTAAAGACAACCGCGAGGTGGACAAGCAGCGCTGGAAACACTTCAAGTCCAAGGACGACCTGCACGTGTACAAGGACATGAAGCCCTGGAGCTCAGACCAAGACGCGGCGCCGACCAAGTCGGATATGCCTGTGGTGCTGCGAGTGGGAACAGTGCTCGGCCGCCTGGACGACCTCATGTTCGGCTGCGTGAACCCGACACTCGACGTCATGCGCATCCGAGCGTCGTACGTCCACGACGTCCACATTGGCGCGGTGTTGTGCCCCGTGATCGAGCCCAGCAAGGAAGAGCCCTTCCGTTCACTTATCGTCAAATGGCTCACGCTTGACAACCCGTTCGAGTCCACCAACCTCATCAAGACACGCGACTTTGTGTACATCGAGGCGACGGGTATACTTCACTTCGCCAACGGCGACAGGGTCGGCTACCACCTCAAACACTCCATCGAGTTCCCAGGCACTCAGCCGCGACCGAACATCATTCGCGCCAAGATGTCGTACTGCAGCTTCTTCCGCCAGATTCACACCAACGTCCTCGACGTGTTCGGGACCAGCACTATGGTCCCTGGAGGTGACATCCGGCGCTTCATCTCGATTCGAGTAGCCACGGACGCTCTGCTGTCGACGGCCAACCTCGTGTTCTGCGGCCAGATGAAGAAGTTGTCGTGGATGCTGCAGCAGCAACGCTCCGTGGGTCTGCAGAGGGAACGCAACAAGAACTGCGTCATGTGCAACAAGTCTACAGCGTCGGGCATCAGGGGGAAGTTCGGCAAGAGTACTTGCAAGTTGTGCTACGGCTCCGTGTGCTACTCGTGCAAGATCAACTGGCGCGTGAGCTTCATCGATCTCGGTGGCGAGCTGGTTCAGCGTAAAATTGCCTTCTGTATGACGTGCATCAGCAGCGCTTCGATCTGCGATGCGAAGATGGCGGCGAGGGACCAAGCTGCAGGTCACCGGCCCTACAAGGCCTTCTCAACCGACTCTCAAGCTTCGGACACGGCGGAAGTATCAGACGGTAATAACTAGATATGAGGGCATCGACTCGAAGCCACTAGGACCCCAGCTGGGGACAGACTTGAAAGTTTTGACCTTGGAGATCAAGCAGAATTAACCAAAAATATACCTATAGATACAAACTTCAAAGCTGACAGTGTTGTTGCAGGCGAAAAAGCTTCGGATCTCGGTAGGTAAACGCATATTCCATTGAGATACCTCTAAATTATCTGTGTGCGTGAAGTCATAGGTTGATCGGTTGTGTTTCATCCCCCAGAAGCGTCCCCCAACCTGACGATACGGATGATCCAACCGAGGGGTGGCGATTATAGTTGACAGCTTGGGTTCGGTTCTCGACATCGGGCAGCTCGGGCGGAGCTATAGTCGTCGCCTCGCTCACACAAGCCGGGCAGAAGGTAACTTTGCGCTGGGTCATCTTGAGGTCCAGCGTCACGAAGCTCATTTCCTTCTCTACTTTGCACGAGCTGCAGACATACTTGAAGCAGAGCTTGCAGGTGCTGTGGTGGCCCACCAGCTTTCCCAGTCGTCCCAATGTTTTTTTGCAGCCGGTACAATGGTGATCGGGGTCCCGTGATTTCCGCGTCTTGAGCTCCGCGTAGCGCTCGCCAAGGGCCTGAGTCAACTTCTTCATTTCTCCATAGGACGCGTACTTGAGCGGAGCCAGCATCGTCTTCACGAAGCGCGGTACTACCACTCGCCGGACGCCGTCGCTCATTGAATCCATCATCCCCATCATGTAGACCGACACGGACGACTCGTTCTCCTGGCGGAAGAAGCAGCACACTGATAGCTTGGCGCGGACGCGTCCTTCTAGGACGTGAGCTTGGGGGAAGTCCACGGAGTGCATCAGTCGATAGCCCAGACGCGCGCCATTCTGCAACAGTCGAATACCCGTGGCTTCAACGTAAATGTAGTCGCGGTTCTTGACAAGCCCCACGGATCGGCGGCGGACATCAAGCTCCATCCAGTTCACAACGACCGAGTCAAAGGGGTTGTCCCTTGTTGGCGCCTTCGCGATCGACAGCACGGCCGCCTCGCTGCGCTCGTCAACAAACGAGGATTTGGAGCGCGTAGACTCCAGTGTCGGACTCACGATGCCCAGCATGACATCGTCCAGCGTTCCAGGAGTGGATCCAACGCACAGCATCGACTGCAGCTCGGGGGCTCCGTCGTCCTCCGAGCTCGACTGGAAATGCGATCGTCGCCGCTTTTGTCGACGTTCCGCGTACACTTTGATTTGGTCCTTGGACTTGATGTATTTCCACTCGTTCGAGTTCACCTTGCAGTTCTCGACATCCGTGAAGTGCTGATACCGCTCCAGATTGGCCTCGAGGATGGCGTTTGCGACCACTTGAAGCTCGCTGATGTCGCCGGGGGCGAGCGTCATGCGCCTCAGTGGGCTGGCAACTTCTCCTTTTGGCATTGTTCAGTGGTGCCGACGGACGAGAAAATGCACAAATGGTCTCCGACTCGGTGCAGATTGTCAACAAAGGATAGCCGGAAGTTAACGATGTCGCCCATCCATGCATGTAAGCTACACCGCCATGTGGACCGAAGGAGCAAGCGTTGCTGGGACGCCTGCAACTTCATCGCCAGCCGGTCAATGATTGCCGCCGATTCATTCAGGTGCTCGAAAAGTGAAGGTGGTGGATCGCACGGTACAATCGAAGGCATAGTCATTTACCGCCCCAAGGTAGTGTCCGTATCAATCCAGGCGTACTTACAAGTTGATAGGTGCGGTGCAATACATGTGCATGCACGCTGGTCATTGCAAAGATACCTGGAGTTTTGCTACACACGCACTCAACCCCACAACTCGTGTGATTATTTTGCGCGATATGCAACCGAACATACGATTCCTGAAATGCAGATTGGTTTTCGGGAACTGTCTTCACTCGAAATTTACAAGTGAGCCAAATGGCACGGCAGCTTGAGTCAGTCAGGCACGGATTTTCTGCATGCAACTTGTCCAAGTTGGACTTGCAAGATCGGGGGAGATCTGCGTAGCGTGATATCACCTCATGCCAAAGTCCCCTAGGAATAAAGACGGAAACCTAGGTTCCTCTCAGCAATAGTCCTGTCAACCTTACCTTACACACCTCCAACCTCCCACAGGTTAAGGTAAGGTTAATCTCACCTTCCTAACCTCCCTAACTTCCCCTTTACAAAACTCAGTATAATGGAAAAAGCCGGGACCAAACTCCCAGCCAACTCGGGCTCGGAGCTGGTAGTGGGCGTACAGTACCTTGGGCGTGGCTGCAGCTTCCAGCCTGCACGAACGCAGCATATTGCAGGACAGATTTCTAAGCCTCACCGTTTGATCTACCAATAATGTGAACTTCTACAGTGTAGTAGTAAAACAATATTGTACCTTTCCATCCATTTACTTCAGAAGTACAAACATGTATCGATGACTACAGCGATCTGTCCAAGTTGCGGAGGATGCGAGTGCCGCTATTAACGTCGATCGTAGCTCTTTAAGACGGTGGTGGGTCATACCTGAACCTGTGCCTCTGTACCTCTGTACCCGCGTTCATATAAAACGAGAACGTCTAGCCTTCGGCTTAACGAAGCCTTGTCAGCGTGGCAGGAGGCTAGATGTTCTCGTAGGCAACAGTGGACAGACGCCAGTTTGCTGAAGAAACACTATCGACATGTGCGTGGCGCTATTATTCAGCGCGTCAGTGGGGAACGGTGCTCGTTGATCATCCAGGTCGACCACTTCAGGCTCCAATCGAGCCAGCTTGAGGTACCGTAGTGTCGTTAAGGAGGTTAAAGCGAAAGTTTAGAAAGTCCAGTGAGTTTGGAGGTGGGTTAAGGTTAAGGAGGTCAATGTAAGGTTATGACAGCTGAGGTTGACAGGACTACTCAGCAAATACCAATGTTTTGGTCCTAATATTGTACAAGATATCGATGTTACTGCCCTAATATTTTACAGAAACCCATAGAAATCCCTATCAACCGTCCATTTAATACGTGTAGTTTGAAGCACTCTTCGGTCGAGTGCCTCCTATCTTGTGTTCGCAAAGTCGTAAGAGATTGCTGATGCCTCGTTGTCCAGGACCGTGCCCCACCCTGATGACCATACCGACTCGTTTCGTGGCCGGGGGAATCCGACAAGTGCGTGACTCCAGCAATTGCTCGCGTTCCGCATCTCGGACGGTGTGGCTGTCAGCGCCTCGCTCACACAGGACGAGCAAAACGTGACTTTCCGTTGAGTCATCTTCATGTTGGGACTCATACAGCTGAGCTTCTTCTCGATCTTGCACGAGCCACAAACGAACCCGAAGCACATTTTGCAAGCACTGCGGTGGCCCATGATTTTGCCAAAGCGCCACACCCGCATTGGCTTCATGCACGTGATGCAGTTATGGTCCCCGCTGGGAGGCTCAGCATGCTTCGACTCCGCGTTGCGCTCGCTCAGAGCCTGCGAGAGCTTCCTCATCTCCCCGCAATGGGCGTACTTGACTGTAGACAATAGCATCTTGATGAAGCATGGCGCCACAACGCGGCGGATCTTGTCGCTCATCGGATCCATGATTGCCATGACGTAGACGGCCACCGACTTATCCAGCCTAGGCTGGAAGAAGGAGCACACCGAGAGCTTGGCTCGGACGCGACCGGAGAGGTCGTGGGCTTGTGGGATGTCCACGGAGTGCATGACATGGAAGCCCACGCTCTCACCGCTGGGCAGGTTCTTGACGCCCGTAGCTTCGACGTAGACATAGTCGCGGTTCTTGACAAAGCCCATCGATCGGCGACGGACATCCAACTCCATCCACTTCACCGCTGAAGATTTGAACGGGTCGGCTGCGGTCGGTTCTTTCACTGTTGAGAGAACTGCAGCTCCACTGAGGTCGTCCACGTATGAGGCCTTGGTTCGTGTGATCTCGAGCGTCGGGCTCATGACTCCAAGCATGACGTCGTCCAGGGAACCGGGAATCAATCCGACGCAGAGAATCGACTGCAGGTCAGCTTCAGACGTCGAGGTGCTTGCTTCAAGTCGAGAGGGACGCCACCGCCGTCGACGCTCTGAGTACACACGCATCTGGTCCTTGGACTTGGTCAGCTTCCACGCGTTCGGGTTCACCTTGCGGTTATCAACGTCCCAAAACAGCAGATAGTGAGCCAAGTTGGCATCGACGATGCCCTCGGCGACGACTTCGAGCTCGCTCATGTCGGCAGGCGTGAGAGACATCCGTCGAAACGGACTCGCGAACTTTCCCTTCGCCATTGTTTGACTTGGCAGGCGAGTTAATGAGAGGAGCAATTGAGGAATGGCCTCCCTTTTTCGTTGGGCGGTGCTATCCAATACGTCCTGGTTATTCATGCTCCGGTAACGATGATTGCCATTGAACTCGAAGGTGTCGCACTGAGTTTCGCATCGCGCTTTCGTGCGGATCCGAGACCTTCAAGCCAAAAAGTTGCTAACATGTGCTATCTGGTGGCCATGGTGAAGGCTTCGTCGAGACCAGGAGGTTATGTAGGACAGCAGCCTCTCCCAGTATCCACCCTTTGACAGATGCTCCTTGGTTTCGTTGAGGTTTCCTAACAAGCCTCAAGTCACTAACTTGTCGCGAAAGATATTATATTTGGTAAGCTTTAGAATTCTTTGACCTCGCTTGGCGGGGCGGAGAACTAAGTTACTTGATGCGGGATACAAACTTGTATTGGCTGAGCTGTTGAAGTGAGCCCTTCTGCACCATAGCTCGGATCGCGCGTTGGATAGCGTTGGGGTTGTAGCCCTGGGCCTCGAGTCGACTGTACAGCGCACTGGTCTCCACGCGCGTGCCAATACGCAGAGTGCGGTTGATACTCTGCTCCACCTCCTGTGCCTTCTCGTGGAACCCGCCGAATAGTCCTTGGGTGCCGCCGTCCTTGGCGGCGTTCATCGTACTCACACTGAACAACCGGATCGCCTCCTGCACGTGCTCGCGCGTGGCCTCATTGAGTAGACGCATCTTCGCGAGAGACTCCGAGATACGCACAAGGGCTTCGAGCTGACGCACTGTAACCGGAATCGTGGTTTCGCCTCCTTGGGTACGACGCACATCGTCACGTACGCCAACGTAGAAGTCCTGCAGCGCCTGTGCTGCTCCAACCGACAACCGTGGTGCACAGCGCGTGCGGCAGTACGAGACGAACTTTTTCAGCAGCCACGGCTCGAACTCTCCACCACTGGACGCACTTTCACTGGCCGAGGGCTTTCCCGCCGCCGACGCGAGCGCGTTGGTGTGCATCCGCACGACGTGAGCTGCCATCTTCCTGTCTCGCGCGTCGTCCTGGATATCGCGCACGATGAAAATCATATCGAAACGACTCAGAATCGTGCTCATGAGGTCGATATTCTCCGAGGCAGAGCGCATATCATCGTAGCGACCGAACACAGGGTTAGCAGCCGCCAGTACGCTTGCACGCGAGTTCAGAATGGTAGTGATACCAGCCTTCGCGATAGAAATCGTCTGCTGCTCCATGGCTTCGTGGATAGCCACACGATCGGACTCGCGCATCTTGTCGAACTCATCGATGCACACCACGCCACCATCAGCCAGCACCATAGCACCTCCTTCCAGATAGAACTCGCCCTTGGAGTCACGGATCACCGACGCCGTCAGACCTGCAGCACTACTGCCTTTACCCGACGTGTAGACACCCACGGGGGCAATCTTCTCCGTAAACTTCAAGAACTGCGACTTGGCCGTACTGGGGTCTCCCAGCAGCAGCACGTTAATGTCACCACGCAAGATCATGCCATCGGGTAGCCTCTTCCTCGATCCTCCGGCCAGTAAGCAGGCAATAGCCTTCTTGATGTTCACAGTGTAGTCACCGTAGATCGACGGCGCAATGCTCGTCGCGAGCTTCTCGTACAGCTCCGGGTGTCTCGCCATCTCGTGGAACTTCTCCTCCTCCGCCGGGGAGAAGGTCGCCTTGGCTCGTCCCGCTCCTTCTTCATCAATCTCAATGCCCACCACGCGCAGATACAGCGTGCGGATGGCCACAGCGCCGACGCTCTTGCCTCCAGCATTGACCACGGACGTGATCCCCACCACAGACACGCGTGTGCCCGGCGACGCTCGGTCCACCAAGTGGCGGTCGGCGATCAGCGCCAAGTTGCGCGGCATTTCACCCGTGGGGACCACCTCGGGGTTCTCCTGCAGCTTGAGCGTCTGCTGGTCCACGTACTCGCCCTTGTCGGGCAGCACCATGTACGAGTCCTTGGGACAGAGGTCTCCGGCCGCCACGCTGGCGTCCTCCTCGCGGTTGCGGTCGCACACGCGCGGGATGCTGACGCCGCCCATGCCCGACACGGCCACGCGCTTGGTGTGGCCGCAGTTGCGGCACCGCAGCGTGGCCGACACGCACTTGGTGCGCACGCGCGTGGCGCTGATGACGATGCCCGGCACCTTGACGAGGCGGTTGATCTCCTGTGCGTGCACGTGGCGGAGCGGCACGGCCGCCTGGTCGCTGGTCAGGATGGCCTGGATGTCCGGCAGGTTGCTGGTGGCCGCGCGCGCGCTGTCGGCCGCGAGCGCGTCGGCGCCAACGCCGCCGGCCTCGGCGCTCTGGCTGGCCACCAGCAGCTGCGCCAGCATCTCCTTGGCCGCGCTCTCCAGCAGCGGGAGCTGCTCCTTGGGGTTCTTGAGCAGCAGGTCCTGCAGCTCCTGGTCGAAGGCCGCCACGTGCGAGAGGTTCACCGTCACGAACCAGTGGTTGCGCCGCGCGTTGGCCAGGAGCTGCTCGCGGTAGAAGAAGAGCGGGCCCACGCGGAAGCCGCGCAGGAAGGCCAGCAGACGCCGCTGCAGCGCCGCGGGGCTCGCGCTCTGGCGCGCGTCCGACGCCTGCGCGCTCTCCATGCCCACGGCCGACACGCGACCCGCATCCCAGTCCATTGTTGCTACAGGAAGAGTTCAATTATGGCCGCAATGCAGCAAAAAGCGCGGGAACGACTGGATACTTAATCGAGGAAAAACGGTAGCATAGTTGTGTAACGTACGTAGTTATAATCGAGGATTGTGATTGGAGGGAGCAAGTTGAAGTGTGTTGGCCAAAAGTAGCCATCCCCCATTGAGGCCAAGGCTCTTATCAGATGCGACCACAGAGTCTTACCGCAAGAGTTAACCAGCCAAGCAATGATACTCTGTTCTCTCACTTGTTCTCTTTTTGTCTCGACGTTACTGCAACTGTAACTGCGATGAAGGCTCGGTTCACTGTGAACCCGTTCGAGGAGCTCAACCTGACGGAGCTTGACCAGACCAGCCTCAAGGACCTGGCCAACCAAGTCATCATGACCACCAGATGTGCATGAAGTACATGGACGCCAAGCTCCAGGTGGATCTCACGCACTGGAAACCTCTCAAGGACAAGGACAGCCTCAAGGTGTACTCGGAGAGGCCCGAAGCTGTAGCTGCTGCAGTAGCTGCGGGTGACGAGCCGACCGGGGCAGGACTGCTCATGATTCTGTGCGTTGGCACCAAGCCGGGGAAGCTGGACGACCTCATGTACGGCGTGACCAACGAAGACCTCGAGACGATGCGACTCAAGGCCTCCTACGTGAACGACTTCAGTGGTGCAGCCGTGCTCGAGTTCGTCGTCTTGCCCTCGCTTGAAGACCCGTTCCAGTCGCTCGTCGTCAAGTGGATGGAGCTCGATATCCCCTTCAGCTCGACTAGCCTGGTCAAGAACCGTGACTATGTCTACCTGGAAGGCACAGGCTTCGTTACGAATGCAAGGGGAGAGCGACTGGGCTACCACGTGCTGCACTCGGTGAGCTTCCCGCAGACCCACAGTCTACCGAACCGCGTGCGTGGCAACATTTCCCTCATCGGATTTTGGCGCCAGACGGGCAAGAACACAATGGAGCTGTATGCCACAGGCATCATGGATCCGGTAAATGACGGTCTAGTCCGCAAGCTCGTGGTGCCGAACATGGCGACGTTGTTCCTCTCCAGCCTGAGGTATGCCCACTGCGGACGGATGCGCAAGCTGGCATTCATGCTGGAACAGCGCTACCAGGAGTCGAAGACTCAGGGGACTCCGAACAAGGAGAGCGTATGCGTGACATGTTCCTCTCAGATCACTGGGCGTCGTCTCGGGGACTTTGGCAAAAGCAACAGCACGTGCAAACTGTGCTTCGGCTTCGTGTGCAGCAACTGCAAGATTGTCCAAAAGCTGAGCTTTGTGGACGCAGACCTGCTACTATCACAGCGCAAGGTGACGTTCTGCTCGAAGTGCATCAGCGAGGTGCTGGGCATGAGCGCTGTTGATGTTGCCCGCGCTTCTCTGTTGGGCAAGAAGAAACACCAGCACACCAGTTCTAGTATTGAGACGGCTCTGACCTCAGGTGGTAACAGTTCCGACTTCTCTTACGCCAGCAATTAAGCATTGAGTTGTATCTAGATAGTATGGAAGTGTGAAAGGCAGATTAACCCGTAGATATTAGTAGAATGAGAAGGCAAGTGTATATTTGTGGTTGTTTCCACAAAGCTGGAGCATCTTGTGCTCGATGGGATGTGGATTGAGCTTCACATTGTATAAAAGTTGGAACTGCGGCAGTAGTCCAACAAACTCTATTGCCATGTCAACTCAATATGAATGCAAGCAACCATTTGCAGCCTACACTAGCATAATAACATTGACGCACATCGTCCTTCGAGTTTATTGTCGATGCAAGTCGCATTCGATGCAATGTAGCCTCAAAGGTCGCGTACGCTGCATGGACTGCAGGCAGATAGGCTTAGTTGCGCAACCGCGCCAATACTCAATAATCGCTCTATACACCCCGCCATCGTCTGCCTCAAACATGCGTTGCTTTTCGGTATCTTGCGCGCGTTGCGGCCAATACCAACAGTCAGCTCCCACTTGACATGGAACTGCACAGCAACCAAACTCACTCAGGTGGGCAATTGTGCCGCTCTCACAGGGTATTGAGGCTACTTGGCTGGTGATGCGCAACTCCTCGAGTGAGGGTTTCCGGTGGCCTTCGCACAGTGCAATAGTTGGAGCCGCAAGCTACAAAACTCCCATGGGTGCAAGAGCTCTTTCACAACCCATAACACCGCCATTACAACAAATGCAAAACACGCACCACCACGGCGCTAGCAGACACCTCAACCGCCGAAGATCGCCCCGCGATCCTCCAAGTATCTTCTCCCTTGATCATCTTTCTCGCAGCAGTCTCCAAACAGAGTTCCAATCCATTCCACGCGAGGGCACGAAGCCCCAGAGCCCACGACAACCTTGCAGCAAGTCTTGCAGTGCCGCGCATCATTGCGTGTGCAAGCAAGGCTCATTGGCCGCAGCATCGGCCGAGGCCAACCCCGCCACGTCAGAGGGCGGCGTTGATTCGCTAGCGCCAGCCAATGGGCGGCGGTTTTACTTAAATATGCTGCTTGGATTCCTTGCTGCGACACGCAGGCCTCTCACTCGCTTTCACTATGTCGAATCTGAGCAAGCAAAAACAACTCGGTAAAAAACGGGCGCTCATTGGCCCAAAAGGCTACTAAAAATCGGTAAAAACACGCACAGCCGCCGTTTCTAGTCCCAAAAAGGTCAAGATCTTTTGCCGTCCAGCAGCTCAGTTTGCAATTCGCCAGCTTCCCCCCAAGTCATCAACTACCCTACCAGCAATGGCCGCCAAGTACCAGATCGTGCTCATCCGCCACGGCGAGAGCCAGTGGAACGTGGACAACAAGTTCACGGGCTGGCACGACGTGCAGCTGTCCGAGAAGGGCGAGCACGAGTCGCACGATGCCGGCAAGGTGCTCAAGGCCGCGGGCTTCAAGTTCGACCTGGCCTACACGTCGGTGCTCAAGCGCGCCATCAAGACGCTGTGGAACATCCTCGAGGAGACGGACCTCATGTGGATCCCCGTGGTGCGCTCCTGGCGCCTCAACGAGCGCCACTACGGCGCGCTCACGGGCCTCAACAAGCAGGAGACCGTGGACAAGCACGGCATCGAGAAGGTCATGATCTGGCGCCGCAGCTACGCCACGCCTCCCCCTGACCTCGATGCCAGCAGCGAGTACTACCCGGGCAACGACCCCAAGTACGCCGACGTGCCCAAGGAGCTGCTGCCCTTCGCCGAGTCGCTGGCCACCACGGGCGAGCGCGTGCTGCCCTACTGGGAGCAGACCATCATCCCGTCCATCAAGGAGGGCAAGAAGATCGTGATCGCCGCCCACGGCAACTCGCTGCGCGCGCTGGTCAAGCACCTGGACAACATCCCGGAGGACTCGATCACGGGCCTCAACATCCCCACGGGCGTGCCCCTCGTGTACGACCTGGACGAGAACTTCAAGCCCGTGCCGCACAAGGACGCCATCGCCCCCCTGTCGGGCTACTACGTCGGCGACCAGGAGGAGATCAAGGCCCGCATCGCCGGCGTCGCCAACCAGACCAAGGCCAAGTAAGTCGTCGTCTCGACCCAGTGACTGTTGCCTCGGGACGGCGGTGACGGAGCCTCCTCCACACTTGCCGCAATATAGAGAGCATCGCTGTGTAATTTCTTAAGAAAAAAAACTTGACAAAATTTGCGATGGTGTTTTGGCTGTCAACGCGCAGCAGAGAAGCGCAGGCGATGGCTGGATGGAGGTCATCGCACTCAAGTGACGAGGCGAGTAGAGGGCATCAATGCCAGGAAGCCATGACGTAAGTATGTAAAGCGTGGAGGCATGGCCCGAACACGTAGCAGCGAATCTACAATTGTGCCCCAGCATGAAGATACTTTGGCCAACCGCTCATCGTGTCGGAGTCAACTTCAAGCAGGGTGTCTGATTCTGTAAGCGTATTGCTCGTGCTCGTTTGCAACGTATCGGCAGCCATGACTACCCGCATATGGGAGTGTCCTCCTCCACCCCCTCGAGGGACCATCCACTGCCGTTTGCAACAGCTTTGGAGTGAATCGGTTGCTCGACATCATCATCACAAAAGCTCGGCTTATTGCCTGTTCTTATCCCTATCAAACGTCCAAGAGGCTCTTTGGAGAAGCGAACGCAGATATATTGGCGCAGGTCTTTAATGCACGCTCTGCCGTAGACGACTTCAATTAAGGCACAGTTTATAAAGTCTCTATGCTCGTCAAGGTATAATAGGAGCTCTGGTTGAGGACAGGCAACAGATAAGGTTATCGGTCACCTGCATCTTCCGCCCCACATGGGGTTTATAACGTCTGCTGAAATTGCGTTGACAAGTGAGAGGCCCAGCGATGGACGCTGATCATTTCAGCTTTCGTCTTGTATCCCCCACCCGAGCTCGAGATGGCGAGAGGAGACGTACTTGCGAGTCCGTTCAAGCCCGTGACGCTCTCGTCTATAGACACCAAGCAGCTGCGAGCTGTGGCGAAGACGATCCTCGACGCGAACTTGCACCGATATCGACGCTTCATGGACGTTGACGAAGGCAGAGTTGACCCGAACGAGTGGAAGCTTGTGCGCACGAAGGACCAAGTGGAAGTCTACCTCGAACGCCCAAGGAGGAAAGCTTTTTCTCCCTTTCAAGTCCACCCGGTCGCCGTTCAGTCAGCTCTGCAGCCGATACTGTGCGTCGGACCAACCCCCGGGACGCTCGACGACGTTATGCTTGGCGTTGCCACCCGCGAAGACTCCAGCGACCTCAGCCGCGCTGCAGTCCTCTCGACTCTTCAGACGCCGACACCAGCGGACCCTTTCAAGTCTGTCGCTGTAAAGTGGACGGAGCTGGATGTGCAACTGAAATCCATGGGGCTAGTCAAGAATCACGACTGCGTGTACGTCGAAGCCACAGACATCCAGCATCTGCCCAGCGGCGAGCGCGTAGGTTACCAACTTCAGCACTCGGTGGACATCCAAGAAGCGCACAAACTGCCTGGAAGAGTTCGAGCTCATCTATCGGTGTGCTCGTTCTTCCGCCAAGTGACGGACAGTTTAGTGTTCGTCTACACCTTAGGGATGATGGAACCTATGAGCGACAGAACTCGGCGAGTAGTGCTGCCGCATTTCGTCAATACACTGCTTTCGACGTTCAAGAGGGCAGCATCTCCTAGGCCGAGCAGCCTGGCGGAGACTTTCGGCAGACGCTACTCAGACTTCCGGGGTCAAGAGGACAACTGCGTCACCTGCTCGCAGCGGGCGCGGCGGAGAACTTCAAGTGCATGTAACGTGTGCTCCAAATGCGTCTGCGGTTCGTGCAAGGTCGTGACGGAGCCGAGCTTCATGACGCCAGAGCTCGACATGGTTCAACGGGAAGTCGTGTTTTGTTCGGCTTGCGCGAACGAGGAGGATGTGTCCGATTTTTCGTTCAGAGGCTCCGAGTTTGCTATGCCACGGCAGAGCGAGTGCTCAGTCACCGCTGGATAATGTTCGTTGTATTACTTGTTACTAGGAGAGGGCTGTAGAATATATCTGTAGACTCAAAAGTGCTCGACTTTGTTAGGTAAATAAAGATTAAAACCGGGATTGCGTTGACATGGGTGTTCAAGCACCAGTATACGTAAATTCATGATGGCAAAATCAATTTGATGCCTCGAGTTGTAATAAGTGTTCAAAAAAGGCTTAAAGATTTTTTTAGAATCTTAAAAATAATATAATATTATTAATACATGTAAGTAGTAATTTGATTTTAAATAAATGACTTTATTACCCGTAATTTATCCTTTATATTCAAAGTAAGCTGCTTTTGCTAACCGTTAGCAGCTAACGTTTGGCTGTGTTTTATTAGCTCAATAATGTATTACCCTTCCACCGATTCATCACTGGCATCACACTTCACGTACGTTGCTTTGCAATGTTATGGCACGGTCGCTATTAACTTGGAAACTTGGTGGTAAAACATGTCCATGAAGCAACCAGGTTGTTTGACAATCAAGCCATGAATCTTGAAAACCACTTTACCGCCAGATCAACGATGGGTCGACCCGCATCTGCTTATCGCATCTCTCTTCAAGAACGCAAGTTGCTTGTTCTGAGATGCACGAACGAAAATCCACGAGTACCGGTACATCCGATAAAAGTACCAAAGTAAGCTTACATGGATTAAAAACCCGACAAAGGGGCATTTATGAACAAAACTCGCATTACATCGGACTGACTTGCTGCATCTGGGTCGAAATCGGGTGTTGGAACGGTCACAGACATCTTCCCGCGCTCCGTATGGGCCAAAACTGGGGATTTGTTTGACTTCGGGAGCACGAAGCGGTGAGGTGAACCAAGCCAAATGCCATTTAGCAATTCGTTCCGGTTCCGCACGAGTCACATAAGCCAGGACAGCGTTCACTATGAGTCCGTTCCGACCCATTTCGCTCTCGCGCGCAGACACAGAGCTACTACAAGCCGTCGCGAAGACCATCACAACAGCAAACTTCAACCGGTACCAGCGCTTCATCGACGTAGACCCCGCCACGTGGAACCTGGTCAAGTGCAATGACCAACTGAAGATTTACTCGGAGCGGCGATGGAAGCGGCGCCACTCCACAGCGCAAAGTGCCTTGCTGGATGCGGATTCGGCCTCTGACTTGCAGTCAATGTTGTGTATCGGGTCAGCTCCTGGTACAGTCGACGACGTGATGGCTGGGATTGTCGACCCGTTGTTCAAGCCTTCACAAACCAAGACGCTGTTCCCGAATGATCTCAGTGGGGCGGTCACACTCGCTACAGTTGAGAACCCGACACCGAAGGAGCCATTCAAGTCCATGTCCGTCAAGTGGCTCGAGCTGGACGTTCGTCGTCGCTCAATGGGCTTCATCAAGAACCGCGACTACGTGTATGTCGAGTCCACGGGCGTGGAGTACATCCCGAGAATGGGGCAGGTTGGATTCCACCTCATGCATTCAGTGGACATTCCGGAAGCCAACGCATTGCCAGGACGAATCCGTGGTAAGCTTTCAGTATGTTTCTTCTTCCGTCAAGAAGAAATGGAAGAAGAGGACTCGGTCTCGATCTATGTAATGTGGATGATGGACTCGATGAACGACCAGGCTCGACGGGTGATCATCCCCCACTTCGCACAGATGCTGCTCTCCTCCTTCAAAAGCGCGCAGGAAAGTAGACTCAAGAAGCTGGCGCAGACTCTTAACAAAGGGTACTCGGGACTGAACAACTTCAAGCTGCACGTGGCGACGCCGTATTTCACCTGCGTCACGTGCTCCAAGCGCGTATGGGGCGTCGGAAAGCTCACAAGTGGCGACAACGACAACACGTGCGAGCTCTGCCTCGGGTACGTCTGCAGCGCGTGCAAGATCGACAAGAAGCCCAAGTTCTTCATCTCCAGCTTGGACGAGAGCAAGAAGGATCTCACGTTCTGCTTCTCGTGTCTGAGCGGCGCGATGACGTCCGAAGCCTCCAAGCTGTCGATCTCCGAGAGCTCTAGCAACTCCAACGGACTGATTCGTCGAGTCTGTCGCTCGGTTCGATCGCTCAAGTCTCCCGGCTGGAACATGAGGAACACGGCGACTTCGACTAGTTTCTCGAGCGCGTCGTGACCAGAAATTTCCACCAATAGAGTAGTTTATGTGTAGGCTGAGTGAAGGTAGAGTTGTGACCATAACAAGAATTGTTTTGCGGCTTGTTCATCAACGAAAAAGATACGTAAAGAGAGCGAAGGAGACACAGTGTGTGAAAATTGCCACATCGAACAACAAAAACAACAATACAGTAGCCATGTGGAAGTCGAGCACTCCATGATGTTGACGTTGCCAATTTGGCAGTGCCGCTGCCACTGGCAGTGCCAGGGGGGGGTATCTCAAGACATGATCTATCCGGTTCTATGGAGATGAACGTCGAACGCCGTTGAACGCCCTCTCGATCGACCATGAAAGGCAGCAGTTCGACGGTGCCGAGGCATAAAAATTGTCGAATTGTGGACAATGCAGCTTACACATCCTTCAGAACGGGCACAGATGTACTCGGAGCACAGGGATACATGGACTCCAATATGCTGCTTGCTCATTTGTGTGCACTCCAATCCGGACCGAACCTGGCAGCATGTGGATTGGAGAGACACCGGGTTGCGGTCGCGAGCCACAGCACAAACACTTACTGCTATCCGCATGGGCAAGTACCATGGAGATCTGTCCGACCCCGTACAGTAGCGGCCCGTATCATGCTCGTCACTTGCCAAAGTGCTTGAGCCTTCACACCCGAGCCTGTGTACGATCATGACCAAGGGCGGCTTCTTCGAGACCACGTTCCAGCCCGTATCGCTGTCGCTCGCGGACTCGAAGGAGCTTCAAGACGTCGTGAAGACCATCGTCGATGCCAGCTTCGGCAGGTATGTGAACTTCTCCGGCGTGGACCCGAATCTGTGGAAGCCTCTGAAGACCAAAGACGGGATTCAAGTCTACAGCAGTCGGTCGGAGCAGCACAGAAGGCCACAACCTCCTTACAGCGAGCCTGTGGACGATGACTCCGAGTTACAGTCGTTGCTCTGCATCGGCTGGACTTCCACCTCTTTGGACGACCTGATGCAGGGCGTCGTGGACTCGACGACTGCGGTCTCAACCAGCCGGACGTCGTTCGGGAACGACTTCAGCGATACGGCCATGCTCGCTCTAGTCAAGGACCCGTCGGTATTGGAACCGTACACGTCGGTCGCCGTCAAGTGGATGGAGCTGGACGTCCGTCGTCGGTCCATGGGGCTGGTCAAGAACCGCGACTACGTGTACGTCGAGATGACGGGCGCCAAGAAGCTGCCGAATGGAGAACAAGTCGGCTACCACGTTATGCACTCGGTGGGGATCCCACAAGCTCACGCTCTACCGGGCAAAGTCCGAGCCAAGCTTTCTGTATGCACGTTCTTCCGTCAAGTGGACAAGGCCTCAGTGTCCATCTACTCCATGGGGATGATGGATCCGATGAGTGACCGCGTGCGGCAGGTGGTGGTCCCTCGCTTCGTCAAGATGCTGCTGTCGACGTTCAAGTGCAGAGAGGAGAGTACAGTAAAGAAGTTGACGCAGTCGCTTGGTAAACGGTACTCTGAGCTGGACAACCGTCGACCGTCAAGCTCCGACAACAGCAACTGCATCACCTGCACCAAGCGCAGCTGGCGATTGGCCAAGCTCTCGAGTCGCAACAACACTTGCATGATCTGCTGCGGGTACATCTGCGGCTCGTGCAGGATCGAAAAGAAGTTGAAGGTCCCGACGCCGGATATGAAGATAGTCACGAAGAAAGTGGCCTTCTGCTTCTCCTGCCTGACAGATGTGATGACGGCGAATGAGTCCGAGTTCTCGTTTGTTGAGGATTCGAACGATGCCCCCGAGATCCCTCGGTCAACGTACCATTCGGTTTGGTCCACGAGGTTGCCACGCTGGAACCACGACGAACCGCACGCTGATTTTGCTAGTACCAGGTAGAATATGTCTGCAGATACATTAAAATAAAATGTTTTACAAATTTTCTCTGTTCTGAAAACTTTCTATTCATCCGATTTTCAGATGATCAGAAAGGAAGCTAGTATGTAGGATAACCCAGCAGGTAGAAGAAGGAACTACCGCGACAAAAAGTTAGCTTGGACGGGAAGATGAAAAACCATTTCATCATAGGATGGAAGTGCCGGAAACTTCCTCATCGCTCCAGTGTTGCCCTTATCGGTTTGTATCCTCCTCTCCATCGTCAAAATGCCGTGCTATTAGTAAGCCTATGTTCCTAGTAACCTTTCGTCGCCCATGCTGTCAAAGTAGCACGGCTGTATGTATACTGTACCATATTGTAAACTGCTTGGGTTTGGACCAGTCGCGATTTCACCCAAGGGGCTGACAAACTATTCTTTTATAATAGACTGGGAAATTGATGTGAACGAATATTACATGTACAATGCGGATTCCATGTTCACATTGTGCAAACCTCGCTCACCTGCAGCGATACGCCGAAGGAGCTAGGGAAAACAAGACCTTCACAAGGCACCCAGTTCCTCCATGTTGTCCCGAAACCTCCGCGACAATTTCCCCTGTTTTGGTGAAACCCATAACCCAAACATGCCATCTTCCCGCTCTTGGGCACTAAAAACAGCAGAAAATGTGTTTCATCATAGAGCGCAACAACTTTCAGCGCGCGAACAGTACTGACTTGGATCTATCACCTGGTAGGCTCCTGCGAGTTGATTTGTTTGCAGGCGGCTTCCAAGCCACAACTTAACCAACCGGTTCCTGTCACCTTGAGCACAGTACATGTTCTGAAGCACATGGCTCAACGTTCGGACTCTCAGACCAGCGGGTCCTTGGTTCACTTCGCCATTAGCCGGACGAGTGTCACTTCCGTATTTGCCCACGACAACCAAGATGACCAACGACTCGAGTCCTTATCAGTCCACCATATCGCTCACGCCGTCGGACTCGACGCAGCTTCAGGTGGTGGCCAAGGCAATCCTCGACGCCAACTTGGACCGGTATCAGCTCTTCTCCGACGTGGAAAATGGCACAGTGGACCCGAGCATGTGGAAACTCGTGAAGACCAAAAACGACATGAGCGCGTACATGCAGCGGCAACGACGACACGTCTCCTTCCCATTCCAAGTCAACCCGAGTGACGACAACTGCGCACTTCAGTCGTTGCTCTGTGTCGGCTCAAGCCCCGGCACGCTGGACAGTGTGATGCGCGGAGTAGGAACCCCCCGCGAAGGCGACATCAGCCGCGCTGTTCTACTCACGACGATCTCCAAGCCAACAACGAGCGACCCGTTCAAAGCCATGACGGTGAAGTGGATGGACTTGGACGTGCGGTTCCAGTCCATGGGGCTCGTCAAGAACCACGACTACGTCTACGTCGAAGCCACTGGCGTGTTGCACCTTCCAAGCGGCGGTCGACTGGGATACCAGCTCTTGCACTCGGTCGACGTTCCAGGAGCTCATGAGCTACCCGGACTTGTCCGTAGTAAACTATCTGTGTGCTCATTCTACCGACAGATCAAGGAGAACGCGGTGTCCGTTTACTCGCTGGGAATGATGGACTCTATGAGCGACCGAGCCAGACGCGCAGTGGCGCCGCGCTTCATCAAGCTCATGCTGCCTACGCCGCCGACGCAATGCCGCGGTGACGCGATGCGGTTGTCACTCGCGTCCGCCAAGCGCTACATCTCCATGACCCTGGCACCGCAGAGCATTGGCGACAACTGCGTTATCTGCTCGAAGCGCGTCCTGAAGCTGGGGAAGCTGCTGAACCGCAACAGCTCGTGCAGCGTGTGCTCCGGGTGCGTCTGCAGCTCATGCAATATCAAGAAGAACGTGCGACTTGTGAGCTCCGACATGAAGGTCACGCGACGGAGACTCGTCTTCTGCTCGCCGTCGCCGTGTCTCGAGAACGCCATGGCGCAGAACGAAGCCGAGGTGTCGCTCATGGACAACAATGGCGGAGTCGCGAGGTTCTACACGGCCGACTACCGCTCGGTGACGCAGTCGCAGTCGAGGTCGAGGATGACTAGTGTGTCGTCGTCCATTGTTTGCTAGGCTAGGTATCTAGAACGAGATAGTGTATGGTTAAACTCTATTGAATGTCAATGCGATCGTTTTACGACTACATACTACCCGTGTTCTGGTAGCGCGTCTGCATCCGCGTCTCGTACTGAGTGGGCTGCAACGAGTGCTGCGCTGATCTCCGATGCTGTGCGTACACAGCGCACACAGAACGTCATCTTCTCCGAGGTCACGCCTGGCTTGTAGGGCGACACCTTGAGCATCTTGTGGACAACTCGGCAGCTCGAGCACACGCGCGCGCAGCAGACGCAACAGATCTTGTGGATGTCTCCAGGCGCCGCGGGTTTCACGGTGCGTTTGCATAGTGAACACTCCTTACAGCTTCCACTTGACTTTAATGGAGGGGTGGCGCGTTTGAGCAGATACGCCAGCTTGTACATCTTGGCGCACTCGAGGTTCTTGGGGATGGACATGACGATCTCAGTGACTGTCGAGACCACGAGAGACTCCGGTGCGTCCCCCATGGCACACACGAATCCCCGAAGAAATACGTCGACGACGCGCTCGGAGCGCTGTCGATAGAGGTAACAGTACGACAGTCTAGCTCGCACAATACCGAACTCCGTCAGCTCGTGGACGTCTGGGAGGTCAATAGAATGCTTCAGGTGATACCCCAGAGGCTGTTTAGCTCCGTCCGGCCCCGTGATAGTCGTAAAGCCCGTCGTCTCGAGGTATACGATGTCTCTCACCCTCATAACAGTCCCAACCAGGAACGGATGAGCCTCAACTGCCCATTTGACAGCAACCTCGTGGAACGGCTGAGACGGTGAGGGCTACACGAGTTAACCGAGCATCGCCCAATCCACATAGCCATCCTCCACCATGGCAGACTTGAGCTGCATCCTCTGGCTTGTAGGCGTTTGCAGTCCGAGCATACAGTCCTCGACAGTGCCATCCAAACTACCGACTGCCAGCATGAGAGACACCGCTTCATTGCCACACTGGTTCCCCAACAACCGCAAAGCATTCACCCGATCTGCTGTCGCCGCCGCCCCGTACAGCTTGTAGTGAGCTTCTTCCACTCGCTCAGATCAACTCGTTCATGGTGCGTCGTCAAGAAGTCGTAGTAGTAATCGCGAATTTCACGCACCACGCTAGTTGCGTTGTTCTCGAGTGTTTGGACTTGCTCAAGTGGTAGCTCCACCACGGGGAAGATGTTGCGAGGCAACGGGAACTGCATGAGGAACTTCCGCTGCTTGGTTGGTGGTGGCGAAATGTTAAATGGCCGCATCGGCCGTCTCCGCAGCTCACTCAATGGCGAAGTTGGTGCGTGTGCAGGCTGTGGAGCTGCATCGCTTCACGCAAGCGCTGTATCCCCAGGGGCGAAGTGTGGTGCAAATCCCCGCGCACGATCGTGCCTAACCTCGTTGCTGGAGTTGACGACGTGTTATCGACTCGTTATCATGGTCTGCTTTGTCGCTAACCTTGGTGCCCTGAGTGCCAGGCGTCTTGAAGGAATGGCACGGCACGACGACGCTGCAGCGACCACGACCAGCTCCATCGCGGGATGACCATCGATTGGCGAGATCGTCCCGATCCGGAGTTGGTGGTAGGTCAGGCGTATCCACGATCTCCACTACTGCGCAACGTCGTCGGACTAGACAATGCTGCTTTGTCACCACGCACGTGTCCTAGCAGCAGCATTGCAAGTGGTGCTTGGTTGGGCTGTAGCACAACCGAAAGTTTGATAAGGTTTGTTAAGTTTACCACGTGGCCACTTCACCTTGGAGGCCGTCACATCAACCTCTTAATACCTCTCCCGATATAGCGCTCGAGAACTTCTGGCTTCGGCGTGATGGAAGAATGTGGGCAGTGCCGAAGTTTCCAGAGAAGAGAATAGAATAGAAGAGAAGAGAAGCACGCGTCCACGCCACCTCGCGAGGCGCTCGTCCAGCCGACTCCAACGCCAAGCTCCACCTCTCAAGACCATGACTCAGATGAAGACGAACGACGAACTTCTGCACCAATACACTGAGAATGGCAGTCTCGGGATGGAGGAGCAGCGCCAACCTTCTCTTCCAGCTGATAGTGGCAGTGATACCGTCCAAGTCGCAGACGTTGTCGTGCTCTCAACGGAAGAGCTGACCCCTGTTCCGGAAGCTTCAAGCGCGTCGGTGGATGACAGCGTGCACATTCTGACCAAGACGACAACGGACTGGCTGCAGCTGTACGAAGCTGTCGTGATGCTGCGCCGGATCGTAGTGCACCACAGCGAGGCGATCACCACCAAGCACGTCGAGGAGTTCCTGCGACCGCTTGCGCTGGAGTGCGACAGTCTCCGCTCGACTCCGTCGAAGAACGGCCTGCTGGCATGTGCGGAATGCTTCCGGTTCCTACCTCGATCGGTTCTGGAGCGTCCGTTGCTCGGCGGTGCACACCCGGAGGTGTTGGACGTCCTCCTCCGTCGCTCGGTTTGTGAGAAGAAATTCCTGCGTGACGCGGCGGCGACTGCAGCTGAGGAACTCGCAGCTCACTTGGCTGGACTGCCGCTTCTCGCTGCTGCTGCGCGGTATGGTACCAACAAGAATGGCAAGCTGTGCGGGACGGCCGCGAAGATCATAGCGTTGAGTCTGCTGCAATTGCAACAAGACCAGCAGACGCTGGCTCACAAAGGCAGCGAGTCTTTGCGATCGGTGTATCGAGCGTTGGCAGCCTTCCGAGAGAGCAAGGACGGCACGGCACGCGCTGAAGCTACAGCGAGTTTCCAGCGACTGGGCGAGCTGCTGGGTGCGCAGGAGCTCGAGTTGGGCTTGAAGGACGCGTTACCAGGCGCTGGCCAGGCCGGAGTCGTGGCTCGCATCCTGAAAGACGCGTTTCCTCGGACCAACGTCGCCAAGGCGCGTGAGGTAGGACGCCAACGGACGAGCAGGGACGGTAGTAAGACGGTAATAAATCGAGGACTTCAAGAAATCAGTGACGTGTTGCCTTGACAACGGAGGATGGCACTGAGTTGGCCGTCATGGTGCATGAGCAGGCGATGCAGCAGTCAAATTCAGTTAAAAGAAGCGAATCTTCCTGCCCACTTCTTTTGTCCGGGTTTCTCTAACTAAAGCAGAGCAGAATCACCTGTGCTTGTCAACGTTGGCGCCGCCGCAGTGAAGCGCAACACTCGCGGACTGCTTCAAGTTCCCCATCGCTTGTGTTTCGCGCTCGCCCTCGCATTTTGTGCGGCTTGAACAGCAATTGCAATTGCACCAAGTTCAACCGCCGGATCGCGGGGGATGGGCGCGACCAGTGATTGGGCAGCGATACCGCCGCTACAGTCAGGGAGGGAGGTCGTCCCTACACTATTCTGTCTTCACTATGCTGGACCTTGCCGACTGATCACGACCTTCCTCCTGACCTCCACACCACTTCATATCAACATCATCACTAAATATCACAGGAATTACACTATAGCCAGGTTGTTTTGTATGCGTCTATCGATCCATATTCAGCCATAGACGTGGCAAAATCAACTATACCCAGCTGGGAGGGATTCCCAGCATCAGCCTCTCCAGGGCGAGTCCAAGCACCAAAGACAAGCTGCACCCCACGTTTCCGTTGGCTCGCACCGCCACAAGCCAAGGACGCTCCTCGTCGACAGGTAAGCAGCCCCAAGCAACCCTGGCAGGGGCAAATCGCTCCCGACACTTAATAGACACGCACTGCAATGTCTGCTTGGAGGAGGGAAAGGATTTGACCCGATAATGGAATGATACCGTGCTGACCCTGTGTGTATCAATCGCCTCATTCGCAGACCTTCCTCGTCGTCCGCACCTCCTCCTCAACCTTAATCCTCCAGTCATGCTGCGCAACCTGGCCCTCCGCTCCGTCCGAACGACGATGCGCAACGCGCGCAGCATCGCGTCGGCCTCGGAGCTGTGGAAGAACCCGCGCAGCTCCAAGTTCTCCATGACCAAGATCGTGGGCACCATCGGCCCCGTGTCGGAGCAGCTCGACATGCTGCAGAAGCTCACGAACGAGGGCCTGCGCATCATGCGCATCAACTTCTCGCACGCCGAGTACGACGAGGCGCTGCTGCGCGTCAACAACCTGCGCGCGTGCCGCGGCGTGCACGCCGAGGGCAAGGCCAAGTTCAACCTGCGCGCCGTGCTGCACGACACCAAGGGCCCCGAGATCCGCACGGGCAAGATGGCCGACGGCAAGAAGATCAAGCTGGAGAAGGGCAAGTCGGTGGTGCTGACCACGGACCCGGCCTTCGAGCTCACGGGCACGGCCGACAAGTTCTACGTGACGTACCAGCAGCTGGCCGAGACGGTCAAGGTGGGCGACACGGTGCTGCTGTCGGACGGCCTCATCCGCCTCACGTGCACGGCCGTGGGCCAGGGCGAGATCACGTGCCAGATCGAGAACACGGAGGAGATCGGCAACCGCAAGGGCGTGAACCTCCCGGGCCTCATCGTGGAGCTGCCGGCGCTGTCTGAGAAGGACAAGCGCGACCTGGACTGGGGCGTGGCGCACGACATCGACTTTATTGCCGCGTCCTTCATCCGCAAGGCCAGCGACGTGCACGAGATCCGCGCGTTCGTTGACGAGTGCATCAAGAAGCACTGGGCGCACGAGCCCAAGTACATCGCGCCCAAGATCATCTCCAAGGTGGAGAACCTGGAGGGCGTGCAGAACTTCGAGGAGATCCTCGAGGCCTCGGACGGCATCATGTGCGCGCGCGGCGACCTGGGCGTGGAGGTGCCCGCCCAGAAGGTGCTGACGTACCAGAAGATGATGGTGGACCGCTGCAACGCCGTCGGCAAGCCCGTGATCGTGGCCACGCAGATGCTCGAGTCCATGCAGAACAACCCGCGCCCGACGCGCGCCGAGGTCTCGGACGTGGGCAACGCCGTGCTGGACGGCGCCGACTGCGTCATGCTCAGCGGCGAGTCGGCGCAGGGCAAGTACCCGATCGAGTCGGTGGCCACCATGAACACGGTCATCAAGGAGGCTGACGAGCTGCTGCTGCAGCCCACGTACCGCGCCAAGTTCCAGTTCGACCCGCCCACGTCGGACGTCGAGTCGGCTGTGTCCTCGGCCGTCAAGACGGCCAACGAGATGCACGCGCAGCTCATGATCGTGCTGACCGCCACGGGCTACACGGCGCGCAAGGTGGCCAAGTACAAGCCCACCGTCCCCGTCATGTGCTTCACCGACAACCTCAAGGTCGGCCGCCAGCTCCAGATCCACCGCGGCCTCTACCCGGTCGTGCCCGACTACCTCGAGCGCCGCCCCACCACGGCCGAGGCCATCGCACACGCCAAGAAGATGGGCTGGCTGTCCTCGGGCGACCGCGTCGTCGTCATCAGCGGCGACAAGCTCTCGGACGACCTCGGACGCGAGATCGTCATGGGCGTCGCCGACGTGCAGTAAGCAGTTCGTACTGAGGGGATAACAACCCACGTATAACTCGACAATACACAGCGTTAGAATGTTTTGTATTAGCCCCGCTAGCGGCTTACTACCGTTCCTGCTCGTCCGTTGGCGTCCTGCCTCACGCGATCTCGCAGCGAGTCCGTACGAGGACGCGCCTTGGCGACGTTGGTCCGAGGAAACGCGTCTTTCAGGATGCGAGCCACGACTCCGGCCTGGCCAGCGCCTGGTAACGCGTCCTTCAAGCCCAACTCGAGCTCCTGCGCACCCAGCAGCTCGCCCAGTCGCTGGAAACTCGCTGTAGCTTCAGCGCGTGCCGTGCCGTCCTTGCTCTCTCGGAAGGCTGCCAACGCTCGATACACCGATCGCAAAGACTCGCTGCCTTTGTGAGCCAGCGTCTGCTGGTCTTGTTGCAATTGCAGCAGACTCAACGCTATGATCTTCGCGGCCGTCCCGCACAGCTTGCCATTCTTGTTGGTACCATACCGCGCAGCAGCAGCGAGAAGCGGCAGTCCAGCCAAGTGAGCTGCGAGTTCCTCAGCTGCAGTCGCCGCCGCGTCACGCAGGAATTTCTTCTCACAAACCGAGCGACGGAGGAGGACGTCCAACACCTCCGGGTGTGCACCGCCGAGCAACGGACGCTCCAGAACCGATCGAGGTAGGAACCGGAAGCATTCCGCACATGCCAGCAGGCCGTTCTTCGACGGAGTCGAGCGGAGACTGTCGCACTCCAGCGCAAGCGGTCGCAGGAACTCCTCGACGTGCTTGGTGGTGATCGCCTCGCTGTGGTGCACTACGATCCGACGCAGCATCACGACAGCTTCGTACAGCTGCAGCCAGTCCGTTGCCTTCATCAGAATTTGGATGATATCGTCCACCAAGGTACTCGAAACTTCAGGAACAGGGGTCAGCTCTTCCGTTGAGAGCACAACAACGTCTGCGACTTGAGCAGCTTCATTATCTCCGTCCGCAGGAAGAGAAGGTTGGCGTTGCTCCTCCATCCCGAGACCTTCATCTTCAGCGTATTGGTGCTGAAGTTCATCGCCCGTCTTCATTTGAGTCATGGCCTTCTTCGGAGATGGACCTTGGTGTTGGCTGGACGAACGCCTTGTGGGGAGACTTGGACTCGTGCTTCTCTTGTCTGGAAACTACGGCACTGCCCACATTCTTCCGTCACGTCGGAGTCCGAGCCAGAAGTTCCCGAGCGCTATATCGAGAGAGGGAAGGACGCGGCTTCATGCGGCTTCATGTGACGCTCTCCCAAATACAGACCAAAAAAGGTAGCCAATCTTATCTGCGCATAAATTTAGTCTGGACAAAGAATAAGTGGTGTGTTTTTCCGGACTAAATTTAAAATATGCGACCTATATTTGGTAGGCCCGATCAAATCTGAAATAGGTTTGGAGACCATAAAACTTCCAGATTAAAATATGGCATCCAGAAATAGGTCACAAAAATAGTCTGAAACAACTGTCTTAAAATTTGTGTCAGCTTCAAACTGCCACGACCTACCTCCGTCCTTGGGCGCCTTCCAAAACCCTCACCAAAGGTCGCGCATAAAAGTTTAATCCCGGAGAATTGTTTGATGAGACCACTTTTTGGTCTCATCAAACAATTCTAATGCGACTCTTAACTAGCAACGTGATTAAACAAGTGACTGAACTCCACTATATTCGAAGGTCGCGTTCCAGCAACCGTTTTGGGGCGCATTAAACGCTTCGGTAATTTAAAATAAATTACGGATTAAACTGATCAAACGGTTTTATATGGCTCTGACCGCGCCAATCGATACATCGATGGTATTTTTCCGAGTTGCAACGTCACGAGTCGCCAAAACGCTTGGCACTCGGGTCAGCGAGGCTAACGACAATGGGTGCCCTGTACGAGGTCAGACACGACCTGCGCGGTCTTTTGCCCCACTTCATCGCTTGCGTGATACAGCAACTTACCCTTCGTCTCCAGCTCCAGTGCAAGCTGCAGAACCCATGACGATCCTTGCGCCAGCAGATATAATACATCTACAGTACGTAGAGACGGCATCGAGCAGGCAAGAGAGACTGACTGTCGGCGTTGATGGGCGAAGTTTCAGCTCTGCCCAATTCACATGCGTACAGTACTCGCGAGTGGCTTGGCTGGAGATAAGACACCAGGGCGCAAAGAGCACGCAAGCTTTTGCATTGACGACGGCCCCGTCCGTGCCTCGGATACCTTGAGCACTTCAGTAGGTCAGTACACAGTGAGTTTCACACAAGTCACCTCTCAACCAGCCCGCCACCAGTCTCACGCGAGGAGCAAGACAACCCCTTCATGAAGTTCCCACTGCCTCGCAACCTCTTCCCCGCGGTGGAATTGCCGCCCGATGAAGCTCAAGCGCTCGAGAGCTACGCGGCCAGCGTGGTGCGCGAGACGCGCGACTACTATCACGACTTCTTGACGACACGCCAGGGACAGGTCGACCCGAGCGAGTGGAAGAAGCTCAAGCAGCAAGACAGCTTTACGCTCTACAAGCAGTACGGGGCAGCGGCGGTGGAGCGGAGGAGCGTGTCAAGGCTACGAGACCCTCTGCGCGACAACGAAGTGGTGCCCCTCATGCTTGCAGTCGGCAGCTTGGATGGAACAGTTGAGGACTGTATGCTCGGACTGCGGACGCCTACAAGCCAGAGCATGCAGCTCAAGTCTGCTATGGTGGAGGATGGCTATGTGGATTGGGCGATGCTCGGCCAACTCGTGTAGCCCTCACCGTCTCAGCCGTTCCACGAGGTTGCTGTCAAATGGGCAGTTAAGGCTCATCCGTTCCTGGTTGGGACAGTCATGCGGGTGAGGGACATCGTGTACCTCGAGACGACGGGCTTTACGACTATCACGGGGCCGGACGGAGCTAAACAGCCGCTGGGGTATCACCTGAAGCATTCTATTGACCTCCCAGACGTCCACGAGCTGACGGAGTTCGGTATTGTGCGAGCTAGACTGTCGTACTGTTACCTCTATCGACAGCGCTCCGAGCGCGTCGTCGACGTATTTCTTCGGGGATTCGTGTGTGCCATGGGGGACGCACCGGAGTCTCTCGTGGTCTCGACAGTCACTGAGATCGTCATGTCCATCCCCAAGAACCTCGAGTGCGCCAAGATGTACAAGCTGGCGTATCTGCTCAAACGCGCCACCCCTCCATTAAAGTCAAGTGGAAGCTGTAAGGAGTGTTCACTATGCAAACGCACCGTGAAACCCGCGGCGCCTGGAGACATCCACAAGATCTGTTGCGTCTGCTGCGCGCGCGTGTGCTCGAGCTGCCGAGTTGTCCACAAGATGCTCAAGGTGTCGCCCTACAAGCCAGGCGTGACCTCGGAGAAGATGACGTTCTGTGTGCGCTGTGTACGCACAGCATCGGAGATCAGTGCGTCGCTTGTAGCCGTCCACTCAGTACGAGATGCGGACGCAGAAGCACTACCCGAACACGATGTCCTGCTCTGGAGTATCGACGTCGCCAGCTCGATCAACTCGTACTCATCGTCCGCGAAAAGTGAGAGCGAAGTGCTTTCGGATAAGTTTGTGTGTCTTTGGCACATCGGCGCAATGTTCTAGCTCAAGCAAAAAAGAAGATAGGGGAAGTAGCTGTTCGAAACGCTGTCGCTATGGGGAAGAAGAAAACGAACTTGCTGGCGACCGACATTTTCATGGCGAAGTTTGATCAGGCTCATAAAATTGTTGTCCATGGACTAGAAAGAAGTACGTGCACGGGGACATTTCGAAGAATCCATGGCCGTCCTTGCCTGCATGAGCTCATGCGTATCATCGACTCTGAAGGTCTGCTAAAGCTGGAGCCACTGCACTTTGATCGCCACTGGTGGCTGCCATCGGCTCTCAAGAGTGCGCCTCCACGCATCATAGAGCCTGCCTCCCCCCGCAGTGGACGACAACAAACCCAACATGACCCCCACCGAGTCGGATACGGCATTCACAGTACACGCCGCAAGCCTTCCAGATTCGAAATCATTGAGCAAGACCAAGCAGCCGCAACAAGAACCCCAGCGCAACTATCGTCCTTTCAAGCCCTTCTCGACTGCGATGATACCGAGTTCCAGCAGGTATTCTGTCCGCCCCGTACGTGGGGTTATGCCAGACTGCGAGCACTAGACGAATGACCGCTTTGACTTCAAGGTGCACTTTGATCTGTATTCTAAAATACATACACGTATCGTTATCTCGATCTTGCGTTGACTGTGAAGTCAAATCATTCATGTGGTGTTACTGCCATCGTATGCTCTGCTCCGGTGCTCCGCTTTCGATGCTCCCTAGCTTTTCCCGATAAACTTCAGTACAAATTGCATTGGCGTCAAGCATAAGAGTTGGCTATCGACCATCATCAAGAACTGAGTGCAGGAGTGGGAAGCGGGTGCCTCTCCCTTTCAACAGCGAACAGCGACCGTAAACTACGACCGTATCGACCTCATTTGACAACTCGCTCGACAGCCAGCGAGTACTAAGGTCAACAGTGGCAAGATGAAGGGCCGATTTGTCGTTAACCCGTTCCAGCAGCTCAACCTGATTGCAGCCGACCGCTCGAGCCTTGTGGAGTTGGCCAACCAATGCATCTCAACCAACCTGGAGTACTTAACGCACTACCAGACCAACAAGCGCAGGGTCAACCCAGCTCACTGGAAGTCGCTCAAGGAGAAGGAGAAGCTCAAGGTGTACACGGAGAAACCCGAGGGCGCAGCAGCAGCCGCAGCTTCCGGCAATGAGCCGACCGGGTCTGGCCTGCCCATGATCCTCTGCGTCGGTACGAAGGAAGGCAAACTGGACGACCTCATGTACGGCGTTGTCAGCGAAGACCTCGAGACGATGCGCATGAAGGCCTCGTACGTCGACGACTTTAGTGGAGCGGCTGTACTCGAGTCGGTGGTGCTGCCGTCGCTCGAGGACCCGTGCCAGTCGCTGGTGATCAAGTGGATGGAGCTCGACATCCCCTTCGCCTCCACGAGTCTCGTCAAGAACCGCGACTACGTTTACCTCGAAGGCACAGGCTTCGTCACGACCTCTAAGGGTGAGCGCATGGGCTACCACTTGCTGCACTCGGTCAACTTCCCAGAGACTCACGGTCTACCCAACCGCGTCCGTGGCAACCTCTCGATCATCGCCTTTTGGCGCCAAGTTGGTGCGAATACAATGGAAATGTACGCGACTGGAGTCATGGACCCGGTGGACGCTGGACTGGTGCGTAAGCTGGTGGTGTCCAACATGGCCAACCTGTTCCTCTCGAGCTTGAAATACGCCTACTGCGGACAAATGCGCAAGCTCTCGTACATGCTCGAGCGACGCTACGAGGAGTCGAAGCTGCATGGGACTCCCAACAGGAAGAACGTGTGCGTAACCTGCTCGTCTCCGGTTACGACCCGAAAGCTCGGAGACTTTGGCAAGAGCAACAGCTCGTGCAAACTGTGCTTCGGCTTCGTGTGCCACGCGTGCAAGATCGTCCGTAAGCTGAGCTTCGTGGACCCGGACTTGCTGCTCTCTCAGCGCAAGGTGACGTTCTGCACCGCGTGCATCAGCGAGGTGACAAGCATGAGTGCGCTTGACGTTGCTCGCACGTACTTGCTGGCAAGACAGCGTCACCAGGATGCGAACTCAAGTGCAGACAGGGCCCTGTCTTCAGGAGCAAACAGTACCGAGTTGTCGTACTCGACTGGCAGTCAATCGGACCTTGGTGGTCGCTAGAGTGTATAGACTGCTTAACAAGACAAGAAATAAAATTGAGCTGAGTGTTAGATCCGAGTGATCTTCGAATATACTTACGGGCAAACAACCGCAGTACACTACTGTACTCTCCACAATCATCAGCCAACTTCACTCCCTATACTCGCACGAGCGTCCATCTTCTCGGCTGGCTTTCGCCTCGAACGCGTTGCGGCCAACCGTAGGAAGCTTGAACGCTTCACGTTGAAGCGGAAAAGGATCACTCGTCAGGATTGGAGATCGACAGCAGGTGTCTGGACATCGCCTGCCCCAGCTCAAGGACGCCATGATGCGCGCGTAGAATATTGCCGGGTGCATTAGGTGATGCCTTGACTCAAGGCATCACTCTTGGCAAATGCGTAACCCCCATATGCTGTTGCATATGGGGGTTACGCATTTGCCAAGAGTATTGATATGAGGCCGGCAGAGGCAGGTGGCCCAGCTGACGCTTTGACGCTCTTCTTGAGCTGCAGCCGAGATCAGAGCGGCACCACCTCCTACACTTACCAGCGGTCGACGTCGGGTCGTCGCCCCGGCTAACGCCCGGACGTCCAAAAGTCGTCGAGGGACACCCAGTCGACATCCAAAAGCATGTCACTATTGCGAAATAGGATCCTTAAGACACCGCGAGGTGGCGCACCCTGCATTAGCCTCATTGAGGGACGTGAGTACATACACATAATGTAGACTGGTAGTAAAGCGCGTTCTCAGTGAAACTGAGAGGGGCAACTTCTCCGCTATAGATCGCGATAGGGTCGGGTACAAACACTGCCGACGTTATAATGCTTGCGATGACCTACATGTGAGCCCGTGTTCCACTCAATCAATCTCGTAATTGGATCTAGAGATGTATGCAGTTGCGCAACTCCCAGACGACAAAGGAACCATTGAAGGCGCGTCATGGTCTGGTGTATTCGGCCCAGCCGGAGACGACGCCTTTGACAACATGGCTGGCGCTGACACTCAAGTCGCTGTCTGAGCGCAGTCAACACTTGCTAGGGCGTCTCATGCAAGCTACTCAGCTTAGATCAGCGTCCACCCCATATTTTGTAGTTCATCCGGGGCATGGACATCCCATCGTTCAGGCAGACTCGCTGCTAGCTGGTCTACAGTGTAGACCAAAGGTGTAGACTCTACAGCATTCGATAGCGGAGCTCTTCCAAGTGAAAATCATTATCGTACTTGGCTGTTTGTTTGAGTCGCGGATACAAGTTGATTGAGGCAATGGGCACGTCTGAGGTCAGGAGATTTCATTGGCTTCACCAAAACTCCTTTTGACCAATCAGCAGAAAGTCGAGCGGAGGATGTCGGCTCGACTCGAGCGGACCCACGGACGTCGACAGAAAAAGACGTCGGGTCAAGGTCAAAACCCTCGACGTCGACAGCTCTAGCTGTTACCCATAGCGTTTCGTCGCGCTACGGTGTCTTACCTGATACTGTACACGACCCTCGAGCAATGAGTACAGCTCCAGATGCCAAACCTCCAGCTGTGCTGCATAACTTGCGCTTGATTCCGGCCCCAGTTGCTGTCGTGCTCGAGTGAGTACTGTTTGGATCGTGTGAGCCTCCACCTCGCCTCCTATGCCTCTTGGCAGCACCACACATCCCTCACGTCCGCTCTTCATTCCCGCACTTGCTCCATCGCCAGCACCCCCACATACAGTACATTCCAACGGAACCCAACAATGAAGGGCCGATTCATCGTCAACCCCTTCCAAGAGCTCAACTTGACCGCCGCCGATCGAACCTCCCTCGAAGACCTGGCTAACCAATGCATCACCACCAACCTCCAGCTCTGCATGAAGTACATGTCGGGCTCAAAGCGTTCGGTCGACCCGCACCACTGGAAGCCGTTGAAGGAGAAGGAGAAGCTTAAGGTCTACACCGAACGCCCCGAGGGAGCCGCGTCCGCGATTGCGTCCGGTAACGGTCCCACAGGCTCCGGACTACCTATGATCCTGTGCGTCGGCACCATGGAAGGCAAGCTGGAAGACCTTATGTTCGGAGTCATCAGCGAAGACCTTGAGACGATGCGCGTCAAGGCCTCGTACGTCGAGGATTTCAGTGGCGCGGCTGTGCTGGATTCCGTCGTGATGCCAACGCTCGAGGACCCGTTCCAGTCGCTCGTGATCAAGTGGATGGAGCTCGATATCCCCTTCCACTCGACTAGTCTGGTCAAGAACCGCGATTACGTCTACCTCGAGGGAACGGGCTACATCACCACTCCGCAGGGCGAGCGCATGGGCTATCACTTGCTACACTCCGTCAACTTCCCACAGACTCACGCGCTGCCGAACCGTGTTCGCGGTAACCTCTCCATCGTCGGCTTTTGGCGACAGATCGGCCCGAATAACATGGAGATGTACGCGACTGGAGTTATGGACCCGGTTGACTCTGGCTTGGTGCGTAGGCTGGTGATCCCGAACATGGCGAATGTGTTCCTGTCCACGTTGAAGTACGCGTACTGCGGTCAGATGCGTAAGTTGTCGTTCATGCTGGACAAGGCTTACACCGACTCGAAGCTGCACGGCGCTCCGAACAAGAAGAGCGTCTGTGTCACCTGTTCGGCACCGATCTCGGGGCGGAAGCTTGGGGACTTCGGCAAGAGCAACAGCACGTGCAAGTTGTGCTTCGGGTTTGTGTGTCACGCGTGTAAGATCAGCCGGAAGCTGAGCTTCGTTGACCCGGACATGCTGCTGTCGCAGCGGAAGGTGACGTTCTGCACGGCGTGCATCAGCTCCGTCACTAGTGTCAGCTCTGTGGACTGCGCGAAGGCGTTGCTGCTCAAGAACCACAGGGCCACCCACTATAGTTTCGAGCAAACGCTTTCGTCCGAAGGCAGCGGCGAGTATTCCTACGCGAGCACGCAGTAGGCGTTAGATTACAGAGTTGTGCTCGCCGTGGACACGAGGTTTTAGGCACTGAATGAATGAATATGCTTTATCTTATCGGAGTATTTGAACCATTCATCAAACGATACCATCACGGAATCAATGTTTTACTCGATAACCATCATGCCATTGACGTATCAAGCGGTAATGGAGAGCTGAAATGCGTCACGAAATCATTTTCGTCGCCATATAGAGCCAGATGGACTGCGTGTCTTCCTACGAGGGATCATTTGGGGGATCGGATAGGTGAATCGCAACCTCACTTGGCAATCTTTGGGCCAACCGCCTCGTCAGCCATGCGGCAATTCTTCACCCCTCTCCTCCTTCTCGTCACTTTCGCTGCTACAGCTTCGGCCGACGTGAATGGAAGTTCGACTTCGCCTAGCTTGAAAATTGACTCCGCAGGCGGCGAGACTGCTCGGGATGCTATCGAAGCTAAAAAATCCTGTAGCAGGATTCAAATTTCGGAAGACTGAGGAGGAAAAACAAATTGCAATGTGGCTGAAGGAGAAGAAAACACCGCTCGAGGTCTTCAATTCCCTGGGGTTGGATACAGGAACGAAGAATCTTCTAACGAACCCGAAGCTCAAGACTTGGAGTTTCTTCGTGCTGGATTACAACTGGAAGAGTCCTGGCCAGGCAGCGAGCATGACAGCGGTAATGACAAAGACCTACGGAGACGAAGCTGTGGCAAGGAAGGCCAGCGGAAGAAGAACTCGGGGGTGAGGACAGTCGCCAGGGCGCTTCAGGCGGAGCAATTTGAGGGGTGGTTTCTCAAGGGACTGCCCCCCGACGTCGTGTTCAACGTGTTGAAGCTTGACAAAGTGGGAGCTGATAAACTCCTTTCCGCCCCAACTTTCAAGGTTTGGTACAACTATTTCCATTCGCTGAACCGGTACAACACAAACAAGGAGACAGATATGATCAAGCACTTGCAGGGTGTTTACAACGACGTCCCATTGGCGAAGGCGATCGTGGTGGCGAAGAAGGACAAGGCCACGCAGGCCATTGCAACCAAGCTACGGCAAACGCAGTTTCAGAACTGGCTGGTTGAAGGGAAAACCCCCCACGCGATCTTCCAAATGCTGATGAAGGATAGGATGCATTGGACGCACGAGGATGTATACTGGGGGTACAAGGCGTTCTACACGAACATATCGCGCAAGGTGAACGGCATTTACACTGTAATACACGCCGACAGATCTTTTGATATCGGTAACTCAGAATGCAGCCATGGTACCGTCGATACTCTCGTCGGACGAGGCAGCGGGTTGCCCTCAAGTCATCGCGGTGTTGCAGTTTGATCACGATTAGGCTCGTCACTACGAATACATGTATACATGGCCTTCCATCGTACACTTGAGTTCAACAATGATTTATGGCTGCAGCAGATCGAGATACGAAACATGCCCCGTTACCGCACAAACCAAGGACATGTTCGGAACTTGTGGGTACGAAGTACAGTACAACGAGGCAGCTCACTATATTGAATCTCCTTCTGCCACCTGCCTCGAATCGCGGGACCCACAGACTTGGATGCTTGTCCACGTTGACAACGGAATGATCGCTCGTCAGGATTGGCGCTTCAACAGCAGCAACGTTCGTCCCACCCTCAACATGGTGTGCATGTGCCTTTGAGCAGCCTAGGGGGTCGAGGTTCGAGGCGGGTTTTGCAGCTTAAGCATATGGGAAGTATTGAGTCACCCCTCTGAGGCTGGCGAGGTCGCTATTAATAAAGGGAGAGCCCCCCCCCCCTCTTCCTCTTGAGGAAGGCTATCCCATTGCGATCTGCCGCCTGCGTTTCACCTCGCTACGACGTCGGACCGCGGCGAGCAACGCAGATGTCAAATTGTCATGAATAAGCAGCTGGGCTGCATAGTTACGCTGGCCTCGCTTGGGTTGATCCCATGCTCGCGTTGCACTCTTTCGTCCAAGTGACCCTTGCCTACAGCTCTCTCATTCCAATACTTGCCTAGTCTCCAGCAACGCAACACACCCAGCAGCCCCCATTGTCAACATGAAGGGCCGGTTCCTCGTCAACCCCTTTGAAGAACTCAACCTCACTCGAGCCGATCGCACTTCCCTCCAAGAGCTCGCCAACCAGCGCATCCTAACCAACCTCCAACACTGCATGAAGTACATGTCCGGCTCAACGCGTTCAGTCGACCCGAGTCGCTGGAAGCCGTTGAAGGAGAGGGAGCGACTCCGAGTGTTCACTGAGCGTTCGCATGCTCCTGTTACGGGCGATGAACCGACGGGGTCGGGGCTACCGACGATCCTCTGTGTCGGTACTATGGAGGGGAAACTCGACGACCTCCTGTTCGGTGTCATCAGCGAAGACCTCGAGACGATGCGCGTCAAGGCCTCGTACGTCGAGGATTTCAGTGGCGCGGCTGTACTCGACACAATCATCACGCCGACTCTGGAAGACCCGTTCCAGTCGCTCGTGATCAAGTGGATGGAGCTCGATATCCCCTTCCACTCGACTAGTCTGGTCAAGAACCGCGATTACGTCTACCTCGAGGGAACGGGCTACATCACCACTCCACAGGGCGAGCGCATGGGCTATCACTTGCTACACTCCGTCAACTTCCCACAGACTCACGCGCTGCCGAACCGTGTGCGCGGTAACCTCTCCATCGTCGGCTTTTGGCGACAGATCGGCCCGAATAACATGGAGATGTACGTGACTGGAGTTATGGACCCGGTTGACTCTGGCTTGGTGCGTAGGCTGGTGATCCCGAACATGGCGAATGTGTTCCTGTCCACGTTGAAGTACGCGTACTGCGGTCAGATGCGTAAGTTGTCGTTCATGCTGGACAAGGCTTACACCGACTCGAAGCTGCACGGCGCTCCGAACAAGAAGAGCGTCTGTGTCACCTGTTCGGCACCGATCTCGGGGCGGAAGCTTGGGGACTTCGGCAAGAGCAACAGCACGTGCAAGCTGTGCTTCGGGTTTGTGTGTCACGCGTGTAAGATCAGCCGGAAGCTGAGCTTCGTTGACCCGGACATGCTGCTGTCGCAGCGGAAGGTGACGTTCTGCACGGCGTGCATTACTTCTGTTACGAGTTCCAGCTCCGTGGACTGCGCCAAGGCGCTGATGATGAAGAACTTCAAGGTCAACCACTCGAGCTTCGAGTCGTCGTCGGACGGAAGCGTCGAGTACTCCAACTCCAGTATGAAGTAACTGAAGGCTTGTTTGGTTGATAAGTTTGTTGTGCGTTTCAATATAGACTTTTTTATCTCCGAGGACGATGCATTCTTCTTATCTTCTTAGTACTGCATTCAGTACTGTACCCGATATCACGTCTTCGAATCAATGATAGTCCCTTGAAGCTTGAAACTGTCGAGGATGTCTTAGGGCTTTTGGCAGTTGAAGGCACAGTCTTATCTCCCGCTTTGAACACTCACCTGCCTGCTTGGTCTTATCAAGGGTTACCCGATTGCGCTTCTAGCTTACCAAGTCACAGTCAGTTTTCAATCCACTTCGTTCTTCACATTACTCAGAATCAGCCATGGTGAAGGGGCGATTCATCGTCAACCCGTTCACTGAGCTCGCGCTGACCGAGCACGACCACGAGCAGCTCAAGGAGCTCGCGAATAACCTCATCCTGGCCAACCTCGAGAAGTACACGACGTACCAGGACGAGAAGAAGAAGGGCGTGGATCCGCGTCGCTGGAAGCTCTGCAAGCAGCGTCAAGGCATCAAGATGTACGTCGAGCGTCAAGGAACTGCGTCGGCGGGCGAGAACATCACGGGTAATGGCTTGCCGCTGATTTGGGGTATCGGCAACAAAGAGGGCAAACTGGACGACCTGATGTTCGGTCTCGTCAGCCCCACACTCGAAGCCATGCGCGTCAAGGCCTCGTACGTTGACGACTTCAGTGGAGCTGCTGTGCTCGACAGCATCGTCGAGCCCTCGCTGGACGAGCCGTTCCAGGCGTTAATCGTCAAATGGATGGAGGTGGACATCCCCTTCGCCTCCACGAACCTCGTCAAGAACCGCGACTACGTGTACGTCGACGCCACGGGCTTCATCCGCTGGAGAGATGGCGAGCGTTTGGCGTATCACCTCATGCACTCGGTGAGCTTCCCGAAGACACCCGATCTGCCCAACCGCGTGCGCGGCAACATGTCCGCGCTTGCGTTTTGGCGCCAAGTTGGGCCGAACACTATGGAGCTCTTCGGTACGGCCGTGATGGACCCTGGTGGTGACATGATCAAGAGGATCGCTGTCCCCAACATGGCCGGAGTCTTCTTCTGCACGCTGAAGTACGCCTACTGCGGCCAGATGAAGAAGCTCAACTTCATGCTGGACAAGAAATACGCCGAGTCCAAGCTACATGGCGCTCCAAACCGGAAGAACATTTGTGTGACGTGCTCGGCCCCGATAACCGGCAGGAGATTGGGCGACTTTGGCAAGAGCAACAGCACGTGCAAACTGTGCTTCGGCTTCGTGTGCCACGCGTGCAAGATCGTCCGCAAACTGAGCTTCGTGGACCCAGATCTGCTGCTCTCGCAGCGCAAGGTGACGTTCTGTACTGCGTGTATTAGTGAGGTCACGAGCATGAGCGCCTTGGACGTCGCGCGCGCGCAGCTTCTGGCCACTGGGAAGGTCTACCGACCGCATTCGGGCTTCCAGTCCTCCGTGTCTTCGGACGGATTCAGTACTAATAGTATGGTGTCCGACTATTAGGCATGCTTGGCCGAGGAGCAGACTTGCGTACAGCTGCTAGTTGGAACTCGATATGAACTCTACCTAGCGTCGACGAACCTGTTCAACGTGCTTAGTTTCAATGCATATGAATTTCTCTCGTGTTGTGGATTTTTAGGATCTGGTCGATTCAAATACATGTACATGTAGCCGCATTTGTTAGGACAAATACGAAAATATCATGTAGGTACGTGAGTGCCAATCCACGGCGGTTTTTGTCTGGGTGTGGAAGAGCACTTCGAGGTAAGGTAAGTGGGGTTGCGACGTTCTTGATGTGAACCTCGCCGAAACGTCTGGCAAACAAATAACGCAGGCGACAAGATAACGCGACATTGCTTTGTGGTTGGATTTGTCTCAGAGGTCTACAGTAGCCCGTTTGGAGTCTTGTACACCGTCGCCCGTTACCATCAATCACCCCAGCACCGCGCGGGAATGGGGCGGCCATTCGGGAATTGGCTTCCAGCCTTGAGTCCTCTGCACGAACTCAAAAATGCGTCTTCGTTGGAAACGACGCAGCACTTATCGTTACCCTTCCTGTTAGGTTCGATCGAACCGCCCGACGCGGCGCAGGCCTTCTGGGTGAAGTCGGCCGTCAAGAAACCCGAGCTCTCAGCGACGGGGTTACCATTGCTGTCAGAGACCGCTCCACTGCACTGCAACTTTGCACCATGGCTGGAGGAAGAGGTCAGAAAACATAGCAATTGGATCCAGCCATTGACAGGCACTTACACAGGCAACATCACAGCGGCGAGAGCAGCGAGGACGATCTGGAGCTTCATTACGAGGAGCGTGCGGAAGTCCCAAGTGTGCAGCAGGTGAAGTTTTCGGGAATGACCTACAGGTATGCTGGTCGACGCCGTGCCGACCGGCACTGCCAGTGTCGAAAACGGCCGCGAGCACTACATACAAGTCGTAGTAGAGTACAACCGTCTGTAGTGTTGTTTGCCTATTTAAGCGCTGACTCGCCAATTGCTTACATCAGAGCCTGACCTCCCTTATGCTATAGCCTATCTAATGCGTGGAAATATGATTGTTATGTAAGCACCGTAGTTCCTCTCTAAAATCGCATTATTGGAAATGCTTCGTTTTTGTTAATCCGTATCCAACCCAAGAAAAGGCTCGGCGACAACGGATGTTATCCGTGTGATCCGATTGCGCACGTGTTATACGATACCGTAGCGTACGTGTTATACGATACCGTAGCGTACGTGTTATACGATACCGTATGTTACGCACGTGTTATACGATACCGTAGCGTACGTGTTATACGATACCGTATGTTACCCTATCGGATCACACGGATAACATCCGTTGTCGCCGAGCCTTTTCTTGGGTTGGATACGGATTCACAAAAACGAAGCATTTCCAATAATGCGATTTTAGAGAGGAACTACGGTGCTTACATAACAATCATATTTCCACGCATTAGATAGGCTATAGCATAAGGGAGGTCAGGCTCTGATGTAAGCAATTGGCGAGTCAGCGCTTAAATAGGCAAACAACACTACAGACGGTTGTACTATACTAGTAATACAACTTGTAGTGCTCGCGTTACGGTCCGTAACACATATGGTAGAATATCATCAAATCTCCGATCGCACTTAAGATGATAGGTATACAAATCCCCAGTCAAGCGCGGTCGGAGCATAACAGTATTACCCTACCCCTTCCCAAAGTGATATGCATACACAGTCCAAGAAAGATTAGTCGTCCCGTTTGCTCATTGGTCGGAGCCTTGGGATGGATGGCACGGAGCGAGCGTAGCGAGCCCCCGCCTGCGGTTTGACAGTCCGTGTGCGTAGCACGCGGCTACAAACCCAGGACCCAGCAGTGCTCTACCTAGCAAGCGAAGGCGACGCGTGCGAGCCGCAGCGGGCTTAGGGTTCTGGTCCAGCGAGCGCAGCGAGCCTTTAGGGGTTTTAGGTTCGCGCGTAGCGCGTAGCTGGGTGATAGTTAAAGGTGACCCCCTCCTATCCGCATGTTTTGTGTTCGAGTCGGAGAAAGTCGGAGGGTCGGAGGTTTTTGGGTATGGAAACGGAAAATGTACAGCCCATGTTTTCGGATTGGAGGGGGTGAAATGGCCCGCAAATCTATCGTGATGCAGAGACCAAATCGGCATCAGTGGCGTTTGAGAAGCATGAACAACCCGCAAACGTATTAATAGCCCCAAGCAAGGCTTAGGTCTACAGTTCCCTGCCTAGCGCTGGGCCGGCCTTCTAAAGGTTTTAAGGACAGGTAGAGCCACATTTAGCAGCTCGATTACCCAGTTCCCAGGGATTTGCAATAGATTTGGGTGCCATGACACCCGTCCTGAAAACCGAAACAGGGATGTCCATGATTTCAGCATGTTTTACATGTTTGGAGATCTTACTCGGTTTTAGTATGTCTTTATCCCTAACCCTATTCCGAAACATGGGCTGTTGGGCCAGCCATATGGAAACATGACTGTAACAACATGGATGAGTCCTCACGCTTAACCCTTACCACTGCCAAAGATGAAACCACAGTGCCCGCTCTGTTGGGGAAAATAACAGAACCCGTGGTCAGGGGAACGTTTTTAACACTGATTCTTTCGTTGAAAGGCGACAAAAACAGCCGATTTGCCTGAACGGAGGTGCCTAATTAATTGGCACTCCCTCTGATGGTGCTGTAACTTGGCAGGTACAATGGTGAGGGACCATACAGTAATACGGTAAAGTTTCACGAGGAAAAGACTGGTGGTTCATCAGATATTCGGTCGGGAAGAGCGGAATCGACTTTTTTCTCTACTAGGAATTAAGCATGTCGTCTTCTGATAAAACATACCTCTCTTTCTGTCTAATTTGTGATTGTTTTAAACCGTATAGCGACTAACGTAAACAGTAATGTTAGGGAAAGAATGGTCCGTGGCTGTGTTAAAATAATACAGAAGTGAAAACTCGAGGCCGACTTAGTAGTTCACCTACCCCTGCCCATCTCTGGAACACCCGACCGAGAACCAGCACCTCAATCTCAGCAGGAAAGTGCTGTCAAAAGCGGCTCGGGAGGCTGTGCCGGCCGAGATTGAAGTCTATCGCGAAAAGCTGCTGCCCATTTTTTCGTTTGCGGAACAGCTCGTGTGTTTTGGACGAGACCGCTAAGGATGACCGCCATTCTCAGCGGCGGTATGGCTGGTCGAAGCGCAACACACGCGCAGTAGCAAGGATGCCCTTTCTCCGCGGAAAGAGACTATCGATTCTAGCTGCACTCGACGTCCATGGGTTTATCGCGTGGGAAAGTACTGAAGGGACGTTTACAAGGGAGAAGTTTCACGCTGCTTTTGTAAAGCACGTGATTCCACGACTTAACCCGTGGCTGCTTCCGCGCTCCATTGTGATGATGGATAACGCCAAGATACATGCGTATCTGGAGATTCAAGATGCCGTTCACCAATGTGGAGCCCGGTCGATTTTCCTGCCGCCGTACTGCCCACAACTCAATCCGATAGAACCTTGCTTTGGACTGCTAAAGCGTTGGCAGCAGAAGCATGCCAACTTGGTTTTCCATATGTACCCAGATCGAGTTTTGGAGGTCGCTATGCGAGCGTGCACACAGCGTGCAGATAAAGGTTGTTTTGGCACTTTTCACCACTGTGGTTACATGGCCACTGGGATCCGTCACCAATAATTTGATGAGCTAATGCAAACCAGTGCTGGATTTGAGTAACTATCAGTACAAACATATTTCTCTTTACTCTTCTTAACTGTTCGCTTGCTTCAGCTAGTCCGTGGACATTTCTTCGACATGATCTTCCGTGGACATTTCTTCGGCATGATCTTTATCGTCCATGCTTGCGTTGGTTGGTTGAGCTGGTGTGAACTCGTGGTACATCCCTTGTGAAAAAATGTCATGATCAGGCAGTCGGAGGGCTCAGCGGAGGGACAGAATGCCGACTTCCAGCGGCATCCACAGCCCGTTCATCCTTACCTGGATGACTGATGTCGCTGGGGTCTCGTGCTCAGCGTCGTGCTGCTGCTGTAGGGCCTCTCGCTGTCGATCCAACTCCATGGCCTGTGCAGTTGTATTGTCTTCTGGAACTTCGAACGGCGCTGATTCCGGCCTTCGAGCGTTAACAACATCGAGGTGGTGCTCGGTGATAGCCCCGAACTGCACAGCATTGGCTACCTCGAATGCCATTCTCTGTACGCGAGCTTGCTGAACGCGACATGCCGTGGCGCGGTGAAATTGCTCCGGTTGTGCGGCACGCTGGACGTAGAGGAAAGCTTCAAACCGAAAGTCGCCAATTCGCCGTAGATCATCTGGCGTCAGCAGCTTCCAGCGGTACTTTAGAGTAGGGAGGAAATTTTCATGTGTCAGCTCGATATATTTTGCTTGCGGGTCGTTTTTGGTTCGGCGTAGGTAGATTGAGGGCTCAGCAGGTAGTGCTAGCGGCGTTTTGGGGGCGTTAGGGCTTGCTACTAGCGCTGTGAATCTAGCGATGCACTTCTCCTTGAAAACAGCGTATCCCTCTCCAACTTCAAACTTGACGTCACTTTTCCACCCACCGCGAGCACGACCGAGTGGTTCACCAACTCGAATTTTCAGTAGTGCAATTGCTTTGACAGGTAACGGGGGAGAGGGCATTGACTGCCCATGGCACATCCTCCGCTAGCTGGGTTGTGGCGCTCGACGGATTATCTCGCGATGCTTGGCGCTGCAAAATCCTAGCCGAACCAGCACTTGTATCAGCCTCATGGGCAGCAGACAGGGGCAACAAAGCGGTCGCAGAACTATCTGCAACTGAAGGGGTATCTAAGGTGTGGTTAACGTCCATAATGTCAGTAAAAGTAAGATGAGAGAGAGAAACCTGAAGTGCTGCAAAGCCCTCCTTGCAAATAGAAGTATGACCTAAAGTTTCTGTAATGCAAAACAGCAAAGCGCACACAGGTGAGAATGGTATGTACCAAGAATAGGCAATGTCTATTACGTACCGAAATATGCTATTCTCTCGTCTTCAGAACCAAAGCCCGCGTCCTCGGCGCTGTTCCCAACATCCCTCCGGTCTAATCCAGGCCACGCAGGGTGATGACCATCGCCGAGGCGGACAACGAGCCGCCGGAGAGGAAGACTCGGGCCGGGATGGTGTGATGCATATACTCCTGCGCGATCACGAACTAGATTGCGAGCCGCGCCGTCCCCACGATAATGTGCATGAGGGCGACCAACGTCAGCGCCAAGGTGAAGAAACCCACAGACATGCTCGTGGTGCTTGGCGTGCAGCTGTCCCGGTACAAGAGCTGGTCCATCGCACTGTCGACCTCCTCGTCCTGAAGCCGTGCAGATACTTGAGCCACGGTTTCAGCACGTGCGGCGGCACCTGGTCCACCTTGTTGAGCACCAGCACGAGCTTCTTGCCGTGGCGGTTGCCGATGGCGTCCTCCATGTCCAGCGTGCGGCAGCCCATGGGGTCGCGCGGTCTCCATGCCATGGCTTCACTGGGACAGCTCCCGACGTCGCCTCAGAAGACGAACACCAGAATGAGCTGTACGAGCGCGAGGTCGTGTTGCATCATCTGAGTCAGCGAGATGCACAGAAAACACGTCGCCATCAGGCAGTTGGGCGCGCTGTGCGTGCAGCAGCCGCAGAGACCGACCTCCCACTTGCCGACCGTGATGCCCAGGTCGTCCTTGTAGGTTAGCTCGTCTTCGACGTGGATGTCGATGGGTCTTCTGCGCGACGGCGGTGTCGATGGCGAGGCGTGACCGCCGCTTAGCTTGCGTAAGTAGTGTGCGCGGCTTGGTGGGGCTCTCCGCTCTTCTACACAGTAATGCGCCTCCGTATTGTGTCCCGAGTGGGAACGGTGGTCACCGTCTCGGGTACGGCCGCGGCCGTCCTCCGGCAGCCTGTCAATCAGTGCGTGGACTACTACTCGAGGATCAGCTGTTCGAGGATGAGCTGACTGAGCAGTCATCGGACTTTAGCTAGGATTAGCTGGCGGCGGGCCAGTTGCGTGGGCGAAGAGTCGTGATGGAAGCAGTGGCGTGTTCCGCAAGTAGGCGGTGACGTGAGGAGACAGGATGGAGGTCACGAGCGCTGCGTGGCTCGGGGCGTGAGCCTTGACGTGAGCCAAGGGCGGAGGGGTGAAAGGAGGTGGCCATGGGTTCGGGGGCGGCGGTGTGTCGACGCTCAAGTTGAAGAGAAGCACGAGAGAGCGCGGGGCGCAGTGCTCCGTGCCGGGTAGGTTGGTCAGTCGTAAATTTGCCGTGGAAACAACAAGTTGAATCTTTGCATTTAACTTTGTTGTATTTCATACCGTTCCTTACTTGTCCGTACCGTCCTACTTCGTTCTCGCAGCGGCAGCCGTCCCTTCCAGGGCGACTCGCGACAATTGCCTGCACAGTGGACGAGCAGACAGTGGTGGGCATCTTGTCTAGATAATGCAGGGGACGTCAGTTTCACTACACGTGGGATGACTAGCTTGATGCACTCACGTACCTCGTTCATGCAGCTACAAGCACGTCATGTTCATGCCGCCTTCGGCTTCTCTCGCTGGCTGCTCGGCTGTGGTTGGCTACGATTTGGGCCTCCAAGATAGAGTGCCCTAACCCTTTAACGAGCTCGTTTTAGCAAAACGGGTCCGTCCAAGATGAGTAGCTAAAACGAGCGTAAAAAAGCTGAAAACCACAATCCCAATCTTTAGGCTATTACAAGCATAACAACAAAAAGAGCTCGAGAAGCGAGGTCGTTACCGCCTCACCACTGCTACTACGCTACAGGTTGTGTGTTCTAGTTGTTGTTAGTAGTGTTTACCTACATATTTAGACACAGCAGCACTCGAAATACATAGGTGCGGATATAGTTGGTCACAATCGTTCAGATGTGGCGTCGCCTTTCAACGCGAGAATCAGTGTTAAAAGTTCCCCTGATCACGGGTTCTGTTTAAAAACTACTTACTTCTCTGTCCCACCCATTTATAGGTATTTCATAAAACGGGGCATATTTTTGCTTCTACTGCATATTTTCGAGCAAGTGAGGTCTTGATACAAAGCTTACAGCAAGGCGCATACGCTTGATTTTGCTGTTCACACCTGTGCAAGAATTGATGCGATCACGGCAGGTTTACTGCTACCGGTTTTAGTCCAAACAAAGGTTTTTTCGTAATTCTAACAAAAATTAGCGATAATTCATCAGAATTTCAGGATGGCTGATCTTGCCAGTCTTACCTTTGCGAACCAATGAAACAGCGTGAAAAGCTCTCGTGACCGAGATATTTCGCCTCAAAAATCGTGAGGTTTTTCTGAAATGATTAGCCAAAAATACAATTCGTCCCTAACCATTGTCAAAAGACCAATCAGATTCAACGTGGGGCACACAAAAAAACTCACTGACTATAAATTCGTGGGACAGAGAAGTACATGTTAAAAGTGCAGAAGGCATGGTAAAAAGTGTCTGATGCCGATCAAGTTTTCGCCTCCCTGTTACGGTATTGCAGGTTAAACAGGGTATATTTTATTGTGCTTTGCTCCCATTCTGTCTAAACGAAGGCGTAAATCGTTTTGTATTTTAACTTCATCGTAACTCGTTGTTTTACCATAACCCAACAACGCTTATTTCGATGGTATTGGCTAATCACCAATACAAAAAAGGAAGTCATTGTTTCAGATGGTTTCACCAGCTAACTCTCCCCTGCACAAAATCATTGTGGGTAGGGAAGCGAGATTTAGCTTTGGGATTTACCATTACCGGTGCGGACACTCTGACGAGCACACCTACTCGGCCTATTCGCCGGAGTCCGTTGCGTCTGATGTGACCAGCTTGATGCAGAAGATCAGCGCCTCGGACCCAACTTGCAGCTTCGTGTTGCTGGGAGGTCCTCGAAGTAACGTCAGGGGGCCACTGTTAATTGCTTGCTGTGCATGGCGTGTGCATGACATCCACACCGCCCTTACCGAGGAGCGCGTAACAGCACACATGTACCCAAACACTGCTACATTTGGGAGGCAACATGCATGGATCATAAATTGTAATCAAAAGTGCTGCGATCCTACAGCAGTCACGGAGTCAAGCGAGGCTAGACGAGTGCAAAACGCCTCTCACTAATGCCGCCGAAAAGCGGCAAAATTAATAAGGGGTGCTTGCTAAACTGGAGCTGGCTGGCTGTATAGCCCTAACCGCATACATCATTTTGGCGCCATCCTCTTCGCTACAGTATATCAGAGCTGCTCGATATTCTGGACCCCCTATCTCGGGATTGGAGGACCGGTTTGCCAAAATCGCTGAAAACCACAATACAGTAACCTAGATGGCTGCTAACCATGGATGAGACAGAGACACACGCTAACAAACACTACCAAAGATGAAACCCCAGTGCCCGTTCGGTTGTATCATAGCGTGTTAGGGACAGTTCATACCTAAATAGGCGAAACCATGAAGGTAACAAGTGAAGCCTGGCCGGATTTCGTTGTTTTCGCATGAGCAATAGAAGTTACCATAGTGCTGTAAGTGTAATTAAGTACGGAAGCTCTGTAGCCCCACATGAGCACATGTACAATTAAATGGGTCTCAGCAAAGTAGATACCAATGTGGGGCGGGGACGGCATGAAAGCTTATGCGAATTTTCTGTTAATACAAGCTGGTTGGGGACGGTTGACGAGGATGTCGGACGTTCTCTTGCGCTATTCCAGCGTACACGGTGAACTCCTCTCGGCGGCTTTTCTGTGCCATGGGCGGCGCATATCTGTAGGTGCTAGGTGTTGCTCCGTCGTGCACAGTATTGGCAATGAGACGCAAGCACAACCCGAATAAGGTCCAGGAAGTGTCTGGTCAACTACGCAAGCTACAACAACTGAAATACTTACCTAATTACGATATTGTGCTTTTCGCCAATTCTGTCAGCCAATTAGGCTCAATAATTCAACGTCAAATATTAGAATAATCATTGAGTAAGCGGCTTGCCCTGTGATGCTCAAGCGGACAGCTCGACTAAAGCTTGATTTACACGGGAAATCGTGGATTGGCAGTAGCAAATGCGCCATTCCGACGATAATCAAAGCCTAAGCGACACTCGCCTTTTGCCATACCAGCTATGCCATGCTTCAGATCAAATTGCCGCTTTCGGTACACATTCTGGTAGTGCCCTTCCTTACCGCAATAATGACATTCCCCTTCCTTCCGCTTGTGTCCGCCACCATTATTACTCCCTCCATTACCGGTACTTGTCTTGGCTCCTCTGTACTGCTGACCGAAATTATTGTCCGTCTTCTGCTTCTTAGCCATGTGCAGGATCTTTCCACTGTCTTCCTCTTCATGGAAATTGTCACTGAGTCAACTAACGAGACCTCGCAGTCGCTGCCGACGCTGGAAGGTTGAAGTCGGCCATCAGTGCAATCATTCATGAGCGTGATGATTTTCGGTACACGAGTGCCGTTTTTCTAGTTGTGAGTGCCTAGAAGCATGGAACGAACACGCCGCTCGTCGTGTCGCTCACCATCAACACGATGTATTGATAGAAGGTAGTTGGAACACACCGATATATCCGGTCGATGCACATCTGCGACCCGGGGTTCCGAAGGAGCTCAAGGAGGCGAGGATGACCCCACCAAATAATTCGCCTCCAATGAAGATGCGGTGAATCTGAAAGAATTCAGCGTCGTTCCTGCGACAAGACGGGGGGGGGGGGGGGGGCGACGTCAATCATGCCGTGCATACTACCACCGAAAAGATGACGACGGGTGTGGTACCGCTTTGCATCACTTGGTACTTGCACCACGACATCGTTGTCCCGAACAAAAAAACTAGGCTCTGACCAACAGCTATATCTGCTGAGGAGAATGCGAGAGATGCAATAATGCCAATCGGTCGACCTTGTATGAACTGGCCTGTTGGAATATCTCTGGAATGATTGACGCCAACGTAGAGATCGTCAACAGGACCAACAACCCATTGGAGGCGTACAACAGAAGATTAGCCGACACTTTTGGCGATGCCCACCCCAGCTTGCTGGAGTTCGTGCAGGTGCTGAAAGAAGAAGCCATGTTTTAAATTGACTAACTATCCGACGTGCGCCACCGCCGGCAGCGCCCTCCTCAGCATGCTCCCGCATCCACGTACCCCACAGCCCCGCGCCTGCGCTGATTACTCGCTGCACTCTAAGGTATATGCACGCATCGTGCTACCATAACTCGGTAGTGTTACCGTGTTCTCTGGATGTTTTCCATCCTGGTCTCAGCTGTGTGAGCAGGTTCGAGCCGCGTTTCTCTCGGCGAACAACGAGTTCCGCCAGCGCTCGCGCTTCCTTGCCTGTAAGCAAGGGGAGCGCGAGCTGTACGCGTACGTACAGGAGATGCGCACGTTGACAGCCTCGCTGGTGGGGAACCCATTGTCGGAAGACGTCAAGATGACAGTCTTCGTGGACGGCCTGAAGGTCGGTTCTGCGCTCACGCAGTGCGCACCGCCACTATGGAGGGGGCGATAAAAGTACCCATCTTAAGCAAATTTCTTGGATTGCATCGTAACACTACCGAGTTATGGTAACTCGGTATTGTGGGTTCTACTCAAACTTTCCTCGTGCGGTTGCAACGAAACATTAAATTGTAACTCATGGTTAGAAAATATTTATTTGCTTATCCAACTAACTTGTAATGGTTTAAGTATTTCCCGGGCTAATCTTTTGGGCACTTTTGGGTACTTCGGGCAATCTTTTGGGCACGAATAAACCGAAGCCTGGATGATAAATGATCTAGCAACTTCAAGTACGTCGCGATGGTAACACGTGTAGGGTAAGCAGCGCCAAGCAACGGCAGGTCTGCCAACGTCCGGCAACGGCAACGTCCACACGAATCAAGTCTCAGTACTTCATGTAGATCATCTTCAACGCTGCAATGACGTATTATCTGGGTTGTCATGTTATCTTAAATAATCTTGTCGTCAAGTGAAGATGAATTCGAGTATTTCGTGATGGGGTTTTTGTAGCGCGCATACCCTAGTGTTCGAAACCATTGATTCGGTTCGAGTTGTAGCTGCATAGTACGCGTTTGTCTCAGCCTACTCCAGAGTGCAGGGCATCCCCAGCATGTAGAACGTCGTCGAAACTCACCCACACAATGCTTAGCCTCATCACCTCTACGTATTTAGAAGCATGCCTTCTAGCAGTTTCCCGTCATTTGAAAAACAACATGCTTGAGCAAGACAGAATACACCGCAGCTAGATGCATCGCTCTGAACTGGGTACTTCAGTCACTCCATGCTCACCGTTGGGGAGTAGGTTGAATCCTTGTCGTTGACTGCCAGGCTGCACAACAATGCAGCACCGTTTCGCGATTACCTGCTACATCGGCGCTTTTCGTGTGCATACAATCTCTAGGACCCAGTTTTGCAGTCCATAATGATCCCAAGGGTCTCAAGAGTGACTCGTGTTCCTAGCGGATCGCACAGCAACACTCTGACATCTCGTGGGGAGATTTGGACAGGCTCACCCGCTGAATTCAGCTCCACGATTTCGAAAATCCAATGCTTATTGAGGCCTGGTAGATAGGTAGAACGATATTTCTGTACAGTGCCTGAAAAGTATTTTATAATATATAGTAATGATATTATCCTACCTCATTTATTTATTATTACTGTATTAAAGTATCCAGTATTAATGATATTGAGCGTGATTTATTTTTTGTATGACATAGTTAGTTCTTCATGTTTTGAATGCATTGTGTACAAATACTTTTTCCAATGGTAATAGCAAGATCCAGTGTTTTCCGAGGGCGCATCTTGTTCAGTGGTTCCAGAAAGCGTTTCCGTCTACTTCAAGTGCAAGTACTATACCGGTACCCCGCCAGAAGGCTTTGAGTGGCTAAGGCAATCTCGTCAGCCACTTGAAGTAAAAGATCCCCGGCTATGACGCTGATTATCTCGCCCAGGCCAGCTCTAGGACCGGGAACCTACACTCCTACGGCTTCGTGAGCGTCAAAGTCGCGAACGTGTACCACTGGCTGGAGTGGGTGGCCGACCGCAACATGCCACTGTCCGAGGTGCACCACCCACTCGCGTGTTCGATGTCGCGTTTCAAGCCCACCTACTCCAATAAGCTGCGAGGGTACCTCGCTGCCACGACCAAGGCTGTCCAGTAGGCCATCGCTGCAGTGGCTCCGCCTGACGTTGGCGTCATGTTCGTGCTTTGGAGAGCATTACGTTGTTGTTTTCGTTGTCTTTTGGCTTAACAACGAGGTGCACTACGTGCTGTCGGCTGTAGCCCCTCGACCAAACGGCAGCGTCGTACTGTGCTTTCACTCGGAACATTTTTGGTATTGTTAGCCTATCAGTGGAGGGCGCTGTAGTTTCTCTGAAGTGACAATTGCGATAACAATCAGCGGATAGCTACGCTTCTCGGCGTCCCATTGGTGGGTTGTGGTTCCCATCACTTCAATCTGACGACAAAAAAACTTCTTTTTTTTTGCCGAGCACGACGACGTGGTTGGAGCGGTGTGCGAGCTGATGGCGGCGCAGCGCACCCCCAAGAACCGCGCCGAGCTTAGCCGACACCCGGGTCTGGTGCCGGTGAGGGCGAACGCAACGCGGTGGAGCCCGACGTTCACAATGCTGGAACGGTACGGGCGCATCCGCGATGAGATCAAGCGCGTGGGCGCCGTGTACGACCTGGTGTCTAAGCCAGCTACCCATCGCCGGATTATCGCGCTGACAGAGATTTTAACAGCATATGCAAGAAGCACCCTCAGCATGAGCGCCGTGCGCGTCCTCTTCGGCAAGATGGCGGAGATGTTCCCCATTACAAGTCCGTACATGTCACCGGATGCCGACATCGTTCATTCTCCGGTGTTTGAGAGCGCTGTTGTAAAGGTAATCATGTTGCGGGTGCTTTTTTATCCTAAAGTTGCTCTTAATACTAATGCTGCTGTATGATACACTAGATTGCTGGGAAGCGTGAGGCCGAGCTGTGGCACCGTTTGAGCTCAGCTCTGCGGCGAATGCACCCGCCGCCAGCACGCAGCGCTGCTTTGCTCCGATGATGTCCCTTCGGAAGCTGGGCCACGCTACAGCCTTCTCGTCAGGGCGATTCCATGGACCAGTAACTGCTGCGAGAGTCACTTCTCGCAGTGCAAGCTTGTGATGACGCCGCAGCGCTCGTCTCTCCTCCCTATTAACTTCGAGATGATCGCGGTTTTGGTACTGGGACGCCCACAGTCCAATGGGCATTGAAGTTGCTGATAATTAGTTGCGGTAATGGCAGCTCTAGCTCAATATATAAATACCTATTGTGCAGTTTTTTATTATTGATCTTTCACCATTTATTAAGTATCGTTGTAAGACTTGGGCATCCTTTGGTTTTTTGTAATGTCCGGGCACTGTTTCTGTCTTTCGACATCGGTTGATTCGGCAGTTTGAAAGCTATGTTGCGCACATCCACTGGGTCGACCATCGACCTTGTCTCGGTACGTACAAATATTTCGGACGAGTTCCGTGTATTTCCGATGATATTAAAAACTACAATCAGTGAGTGATCAAGGTTCCACATCATTTAACACGGGAAGTATTACTTATATTAAGAAGCCGCATACATTGCTCTCGATGAATGCTACTGGGATCGGATATGCTTCACTTTCTATGTTCTCTACGTAGTTTGTCCACCTCACCAGTCCACTTCCTAAACTGGTCAATATTTTTAGCAGGACGAGGAGTAGAGCATGAACGTACCAGGAATTGCGACCTGGGGGGGGCTTCTCAATTTTTTTCCATTGAGACGCACAGGAAGCCGATTAATAATCATGAACTCGGGTCAGGTCGGGATACATCTGCGCCTATAATAAACCATCTTCTAGGCTGATTGGGCAATCGCAGGAAACGTCGAAAATCCCGTGTCTGGCACTAATTTCTCCTACACATCGTGAAAGCGACTTTGCTGAATGCTTAAAAGTTGGGTAAAGCAAGAGTATCGATACCGCACGCTTGTTTCCTACTACCGGGAATACTCTTCGTGGATAGGTTGTATCTCTTTGCCATCACAGATCCCGCTGCATTGGCTAACGGGGGATCTTCTCTATCAGAACGGTTTGATAGATCAGACTCGCCTTGAGTTGGCTCTATTATTTCATCTTCGATATAATCAACTGCGGGGCTACTTTCAAGGCAAATCCCAGGTAGATGCGAGTCGTCATCCCGAAGCTCAACTGCTAATGGGACTAAATCCCATTCCGAACGCACAGGCTGTAGGTCGTTATCGTCACAACTGAAAATTGCTCGATCCGGGCTTGCAATATCGCTGGTATCTGATTCGAAACCGGTAGCATCATCATGTATGTGCTCGTTAAGATTCACTTCCCATTTCTTCGTAAAATCACTGAGGATTGACCTTAGATCCGCAAGGCGCTCGTAAAAACGATGGGAGGGCAAATGTTGCATGTCGGTCAGCACTGGGAATAATTCTGCTTGAAGGTTATTGTATTTCTCGCAGTTAGAGAGAACGGCTTGCTCAAACTTACGTGGCTGAGTTGCGCGAGATGTCCAATTGAGTTAGTCACCCCAGGATTTCTCAAAACGTAGCCACCAATTGAGTTGAAGAATTCTAGCAAGACCAATGCTTGATGCTGAAAAAATAACTTTCAAATACTTGAACATGCTGCATTTTCTCCGGAAAAGCTGTCTGATCTGACCACAACTAGACTCAATCCGATTGGTCGTGATGTTACCAGCAGTAAATCGTTGACGACGTCCATAGTTACTCCAGCGATCGCTGCAGTTATCCCAGCATCGGCGAAAGTACGCCAGGAAAGTGGGACTTATCTCCGAAACACGCTTTTCAAAAACTGCCAAGCGAGCGTTGTACCGGATGCATACATCAGTGAGCTCTTCGACATCATCACGTAGTTTTAAAGGCACAAAGTACCCTCGCCTACGAAGTATCTGGCGAATGTAGCGCAAAGCGTGAAATGGCACATAAAATACCGAGGCTTCTGGGAATTATGCTGACAATGCGGTCATCTCATCTCGGAGCACCAGTGGTTTGAATTTATGACACGTACCAAAATAAAACCTACGTTGTTAGTGTTGTGGGTCCAGTCTAGAACGAGTGTATCTAAGCAAGAATCTCTGAGCGACACTTTGAACGACAATACCTACTGTCAGATCCCAGTCACCTTGTATAAAAAGATATTGGTTGCCTTTGTGCACGAATACAGCAATTATAGTTTTAAGGTGATCCTCTGAGGTGGCGGATCCCAATTAGATTTCAAATCTGTTGTGGAGCGAATGCTATTGTGAACATGCCTATTTTGATCGCAAACCAATAGATTGACACCCTGATTTAGCTTGATCGATATGCACATCGACCGCGTCCTTGCGATACATATGGGAGTGTGTGTGTGCAGATTAGATGATCGAATTTTGGGAAACCAGTCGATATAGACGCGTTCGGAGCAGAATTCCCACCTTTTACTGGGCAATAGTGTAGTCTGGTGATGCATATGGATCGCAACCGATTTAAACCCTGATTTGTACTCTTGCATCAGGTGGGCGTTTTAGCCGGTTCTTACAATAACCCTAGCGTAATAAGAATGGATAAGCTCAACAATTCATAAAATGCCAAAGCTTCATCCATCAGATTAATATCTAGCGTACCTGTTTTCGCGATAAAAAATCTGTTATCTGCTTCATGTTATTTTTGATTTTCACAAACGCGCCGAGCTGATCCAGTATTTCGTCTGAGAAGATGGCTTTGCTCTTTGATAAGGGCTACGAACGACGCCTCGGTGAGGTTGTAGTTGTGGGAGCAGAACTGTAAATAATGCGTGTCGAAACGTGAGTTGAAGATACTATGATATCAGACATATTGTTGCTCAGTAAGACACGTAAATCAGCTGTAGTTTTCACAACCCATGTAGGCTCAGCTGTAGAATTTGGGTCTTGAAGGCTGGTACGACAGACCTCTGCCCCAAAAACTCCTTTGCACTCGCGATATCTCGACGCACGCGTTGCTCGCTTCCCTGTTCCACGCGAGGGCTACTTACATCCCAGAGTGCACATGTATTTCGGAAACGCAAGTTTTATTGCGGTGGCACTGTCCCAGTCTTGAACTTGGAATTCCATTTGTTGCACGAGTTGGAGTCACGAACTCGATAGCACATCAAATGCTTTTTTTGGAACTTGCTCCAAAATTCTTCTAGCTTTTCCCAAGTTAAAATTTCCTTACCCGACACGGAAGGAATTTCCCGGGAAATTTCTGTAGGGAGAAAATACAAGCAGCAGCATAAATTCAGTTAGATAGTACTGCATACTTGAAAAAGCTGCCTACCTCCTGCTTGACGGCTATGCCTACCCACGCCGCCACCAAAACCAGGCTTGACTACTTTATCACTGCTGTCTTCATCATTTGCATTGTCATCCTCGACGCGCTCTAATATTCAGTAAAACATTGTAAACAACCTAAACATGTGATTAATCATGAACGTTTGGACTTACGCCGCCTCTCGTCCCAGTTGGAGCCTAACATGTGCAGGTATATATTTAAGTATATATACAAGAATTAATACGGACCAAATGGATCATAACGCTTAACGTACCGGGCGTGTTCATTCCGGAGCGCGAACGTCGCGTTACCGAATCTGTAAAGCAGAGAAAGGGCACGGAACAAGGGAGGGGTCGGGGTGTGGGGGAGGAAGGAAGTGACAGGGAACTGGAGACTGGGACAGATAGAGCAAAGAGCACGAAGCAGAACGTTAGCCCCGTCACCACATTGTAGCACAAAGCATTCTATCAGCCTTCTAGGAACGAGCGAAATTCTAAATGAAGGAACACCGACAGTTGAAACGCCCTTTCCACGTAACAGATGAAACTTAAGTTACTGAGGTTGCAGACGTTGCCGAAGTTGCGGAAGTAGATATAGGTGATACCGCCTTTACTGGATTGCCGAATTCATCTGAACCTGTCGCTTGGAAGATTTATGAAGCGGTTCTACGTCTAAAAGTACCAACACCATTTCGAGCCTACTTCGCGGCACCGAAGTACTTAGAGAGTAGTTAAATTCATGGTACACCAAACATAAAAACGAAGATTATTCTCATTGATCTCGAAAATTCGGATTGAGCCTTATCTATTTTTGTTTCGAATATAGATACAATAAGACATTTAGATAGTGGTGCCTCTGCAAAGTGATAAAATATGGTCTCCCGAGGCTAACACAACAGAGAGAATTCTCTTTTTAGCGATACCGACGACAGCGACGCTCGCAACGTGTCTCCCGTCTACGGGGATCGTGACCCGAGTACGACAGCATGACGACGGCCCGTCTCTTTAGGTCGATGATGATAGTAGCTCTGGTGGAGATGGAAGCGACGACAACCCATGTAACGGGGTTACACGCACAAGTGGCTACAGTCACTTGTGACTCTAACAGATACGACGTCTGTTAGAGGTTCGAAGACTTTCTCGATCTTGGTGTACGTCACACCAAGAGTTACATACATTTGCGACCACCATGACGAGTGGTCCATAGAGACTTAGGAGTCCTATTGGTTGAAAGAAGCATCTTTCAGCCAATGAGCGACATGCATAACAGAGGAATTCTGCCCACCAGCCGTTGGCAGACTTCTAGCTTAGAATATTACATTTAGAGGAAGTCAGAAACATAAAACAAAAATAGCAGTTCTCATCTTTTACCAAACCCTGCTACTTGGAGTCTTTATCTTGTTTAAAGTATAGTCGTGGATCTCGAGTATACTTAACTCAAGTAAAAGAACCTGCGCTTCCTCATACACGTGCACATACGTGTAAGCCGTAGTAGTGACCCAAGGTAGGTCCACTGCACCTGGTAGCACTTTGTAGTCCGTCCAACGACCGACTACCTAAGTTCGTACGTCACGGCACGAACGCGGAGCAGAGAACCTTCCCATGGATACAGATGTGCCCATGGAAAGCTCCACCACGCCTGCAACTCATGTTGCACGCGCTGACTTCCCCCACCTGTCGGATCCATAGTGGGACTGTCAACATCCATTGGGGAGGCGGCTGTAGCTACGATGCCGCGTACGCTAACGCCAACAGAGCAACATGGTGTTGCTCTGGGTTTTATCCTGAAGGTGCAGCGCGATGCTGCTTTCTCTACCACGGTGGCGTCGGAGACGACACCGCTTGAGCAATCGTTGAAGCAAAACGTGAGCAACTATGTCGGAAGAGAGGGCGAGCCTCTCCTTCGTTGGCTTGTCGAACTCGACACTGCCATCGCGGCTCGACGTATCGGCGACCCGTTGTCCAAGGTTGCGTTCGCCATGTCATGTCTTGGCGGGCGAGCGAGAAGTTGGGCATATGGACGCCGAGTCTCTGATCCTACGTGCTTCAGCATTTCAAGGAGGAGCTCAAACAAGCGTTTGAGCCGCCGCAAAATGAGTTTTGGTCGAGGGCAGAGTTCCTCGACCTACAGCAGGGTAAGCATGATGTTCATGCATATGCGCAGAGAGCACGGTACTTGGTCTCGAACATTGTGACCACCCCGGTCGACGAGGCGACCAAGATCGTCCCGTTCATGAAAGGATGTAGGGATGGCTTGGATAAATTTGATTCGTCGGCTCGGGGAGCCGACGCACCCTCCGTAATGGAGTCTCCGCCAATGGATGGCGTCGAGGTATTAAAGTCGCGTCGGTTCCGGGCGCCGACGCTGCAAAAGGTAAGCGACATTTCGCGTCGACTCCGGGAGTCGACGCACCCTTCGTAACGAAGGGCTCCACCAATTACAGGCGTCGACGTGGAGATGACGTGTCGGCTCCGGAAGCCGACGCTGCAGGCAGTGCGGATAGTTGCAAATGTCCCGCACCGGAAAAACTTGCATGCTGTCGTGCAGCCGGGCTGCACGACGAAGCGCCGGGCGACCAAGCCGGGCTTAAAGTCGCTCGCCCGCGGGATGAACCCGCCGGCGATACTAAGGAAACACACCCGTCCACGCCTGGGCCTGGACGAGGTCAAGAATCATGCGGAGCCGGGCTCCGCAGGACAAGAAGACGGCGCATGCGGAGATCACTGCGCAAGTCTCGGCCGGGGGCCGAGCGCTACAAGGAATGTCTGCCGGGCAGACGGAAGCCGGACGTCGAGACGTTGAACGTCTTGGCGTGTACCTGTGCCTGGTTCCGGTACAGGGAATGGCTCGCTAATCCTCCGACGCAAGCGTCGGAGTTGACTTCGCTTCCAGGTATGAGCAGGAAGCGCTTCGCGCGTGACTTGCATGATGGACGCATTGAGCAGATCTGCATTCTCTCGGATGCCGAGAGGACGAAGAGCGAGAGTGAGGAACTGAGGCAGTTCTTCATGGAAACACCACTGAGAGCGAGGCCATCCTCAGTGCGAAGACGAACTAGGGGTGCTTTGAAGAGCAGAGCTGGGACTCGCTGAAGTCGAGTCCCTTCTACAAGATTCTACTGGAGCTCGAGGACGTGCTTCCGGAAGAGATCCGCGCGGAGCTTCCGCAGGACAAGGGCATTCAGCACGGGATTGATCTCGTGCCGGGCACGAAGTACTGTGTCACGCGGCAGTGGCCACTGCCGCGAGAGCAAGTCAAGGCTATCGACGCCTTCTTTGAGAGTCGTTAAAAAGCTGGACAAGTGCGGGAATCGAAGTGCTCCGACGTTCTGTGTCAAGAAGCCACAGGGCGGCTGGCGCATCGTTCATGCGTACAACAAGCTGAACGATGCGACGATACCGGCGCAGACCCCGATACCGCGAAAAGATGCTATCATCGATTCGATGGTCAAGAGCACTATATACAGTGCTTTTGATCTGCTTGATGG